ATAAGGCGTTTACATAATCACAATGTTTATTCGCGCATTGAGTTACAAAATTGTTAATATTACTTATTACCGTCGTTATTCCTCCCATTTTTAAACGAATATATTAATGTAGGAACTCCGGCACTCCAGTCTTGGCTGAGCATAAATTAAGTCGACTTGTTAATGAATCTCTACTCGCGGCAAGCTCACTCTGCTGGAACAGCTGTTGATTGATCTAACAAACTTAATGCTAATATTGACACACTCATTAGAACCTTTGAGATTCACGTATCAGGAAATAGTTTTGTTAAAACGAAGTGTTTACCTTTTTACGACATATTTATCTCTTTTCTTTTATAATAAAATTTCGTGTATAATAAAAGTTGAGTTGTGTCCCCCCACATACATGTATTACTATTTATGTGATTGGATTTAAAATATACTTGCAAATGTTCTGAAATTATATACAATAAGCGTGGATTGTGTAATACGTTCAATTCTTCTTTACTTTTATTGATTAAAAAGTGTAAAATATTCTTTATATAGCATAGATAGAGAGCACAACAATAGAAAATTAAAACATAAAAATAAAAATAAGAAAACAGGTAAATGAAACTTGTTGAAAAATATTTCATGGACAGATAAGCCATCTGAGGAGTGTTCTGAACATAATCAGATATGAATAAAAATAAATAACTTTTCGCAAAGACATTTCTTCGAAAGTTGGAATGTCGCCAATAGACAACGTTAGTTATCATATCTCAATTATGAATACTTCTTTTAATAGGACTCCAAACAAATGGTAGAAATAAATACATTATACAATGTTACATATAAGTTTCTAGAGTAAACTTATTTTAAATACTAATTTTCAACTAAGATAAATAAATATTGTCTTAGTTTACGCGAGTGTCCTAAATGGTTAAACGAAAAAAAAAAAATTTTAAAAAAAAAGGGGCGGGGGGGGGGGGGGGGGGGGGGCCGGGTTCTTCCGGGACCACGGCTGCTGCAAAGCATCCGAAACGTCGGGTCTAAGTTAAAAATCATTTTCAAATAAGTTTGCCTGCATTATAGCGCGTTTTAAATAAGTTATAAGATAAATAAATATTTAGTTGGTCCTAATGGTTAAACGTTGCCTTGATTGCGTTAAGCGCAAGGGGTTCTGGATTCCAATCTCCGGAAACAGGTCGGTTACAGGAGTCTGATCAACGACTTGCTTGTAAAGAAAACCGACGTGTGTGTGTGTTAGTTTATTTCACTGATAGCATTTAATCACAGGCAACTAGTTGATCAAACTTTTGTGCCCTGCCCGACCGAAACAATTTATTGTTTCTCTCGGAATTCGAAGCCAGGCCACTCAAGTAGTAAACGCGACGTTAACATACAATTAATAATGGTATGGAAGCGGAAGAAAGTGTAAAAAAAAATACTTACGCCACCTACCCTCATAGTTATTATGTATCTGTCTAGTAAACTCGACATTTACTCGATCCTAATTGGATTAACTTTAACCCATCAAGTGTTCTCAGCATTAACTCAAGTTAAACTGTACCGGAGCACAACCCTATCGCTAGATTTACCACCTCGCTGGTTTCGACGTAACACGGGGGAAATTTTACCTTCAGGAAAATAGCGATTATGTTTTGTTTTTATTTACGGATCAATTATAGTAACTAGAAAAAGCAAACAAGGGTTTTACCGCGACCTTTATGTTTTTATTTTGGCAATATTTGAGTATGTGTTTTTAGAAATGACAAAAAAATCAATACTTTATTTTACGGTCCAATACATGAGGCAAAGATTTGTAGATTTTAAGTTCCTGTAATCATAGCTTATAATAGTATGGCTTAATTAATTTCCTTGCTAAAATGCAATGAGTTAAAAACTAACATTAAAATATATGTTAAGTTTTTAAAGAGAAACTTGTTTTGTGTATTTAAACTAGAAAGATAAGATAACCGCGATTTCTAGGTATATTTGAATAAGACGGGAATTATATATTCATTGTTTTGTTTCTTCAATCGTACATTTTAAAAAATAAAATTTATTTATAATGAGAGGGCTGACCGCATTCGACATGTGTCACAGCGGGTATACATTTTATAAGACCTATCACAAACAACAGTCTCTCAAAACTATATTTTTATTTGCCGTTATGTATTTTTTACGTAAATGCATCGCTTTTGAACATAAGAAACGGTAAACATAGGTCAAGTTAAAAGTACAAAGAACATAAAGTCGTATTAAAAAATTAAAAGACGAATATACCAAAAACCACTTCAACCGGTTTAGAAGTGATAAGCGCTTTTAAACTTAATGTACTGTCAAGATAAACATGTTTAATAATAGCACATTTAAATCTATACTAATATATATAGCTGAAGAGTCTGTTTGTTTGAATATGCTAATCTCAGAAACTACGAGGTCGAATTGAAAAAATATTGTGTTGGTTAAAGCATTTATCAAGGAATTTAAAGTATTTGCGATAATATTGTGACTATAGGCTTAGTTCAAAATACAACATTTAAATGGAAGATAAACTTTACAAGAACCCGCCTTCTCTTCTTGTATCTACTATTCTACAATTGGATCTGTTAGTGTATATTTTCAGGTTCACAAACAGCGAAATTTAGGTATCTTCAACCTTTTTCTAGCGCCTGCTACTGGGATTTAGGCCTACTCAGGGGTCCCTTATTGCCCACGCTGGCCAAATGCGCACAGTTTATTATTTAGTAGAATTTTATGTTTTAAGACAGGCCATTTGGGACCTTTCTCACAGAGTATTTCTCAATGGTAATTATATAGTAATACTGCCGGTATTACTATATAATTACCATTTTGGTGACGGCCGAAATCGAACTTTAAACCTTAGGAGCGCAATCAAAATGGGAAAATACTGTCCAATTAAAAGTTAAACGATTTTAATTTATACTTTGGAGTAAACCGTTTGCAAAAGAATCGTCTGGTATTACAGTACAAGGACGGCGTAACTGTTGAGTAGTTTTTTGACGTACAACTTCCGTTTAACAAGCTGACTGCCTGATACAATATTGTTTGCTTAATATAAACTGTACTAGCTGCGCCAGCGACTTCGTCCGACGTTACAACAAGTTAGACCTTCTTTAGATTTATATATTAGAATAAATAATTAATGCTGATTATACAGACATCATTTGATAAATGTTAGTTGTTCGCTGTCATAAACAGTAAAATAAAAAGTACTAACACGATATCGTCGATAATCGAATGTAACATATAAGTTCACCAAAAAATGGTAACCCTCTTCCTAAAAGTAATCGTATTAAAAAAGTAATACTTAAAATGGCTTCCCTAGGGATCACCAACGGAAGGCGGCAGGTGCTGTTCGCTTCATTTAACTTTAGACATTTTTATGGCTCTCCATCTTGTTTTGGATACAACTTGTCTAATAATTTTAAACTTTCTTAACCCTCTACCGTAACTTAAAATCACTTGTTTAAGTGAACTAAAGAAAACCGGAGTTTTTTAAAACGCTTCTAACAGTATATACATTTTTAGTTTATTATCTGTGCACTGTTGTTAACCCCGATTCGTGAATTAACTAAGGTCTATCTTTTAGTTACCTTTTTTGTTTTGATGCTGCATTTCATACCAATTACAATATAATCTAATAATAATCATTTCTTATGTGCTCTGAAAGTTATTTGGAGAAAAGGCTAGGCTCGTTGATGTAATAGTAGCAATGTATGGCTAAAAACAACGGGTCGGGTGTTCGATCCCCACCGGGTAAAACATTTATTAACCAATTTGAAATATGTTGGACTACGTCTGGTGGACTTCCGAATATCCAAATCCAAAATAGGCCGACAGCGCATCTTGTTGAGATGTTATATGCGTGGGGTATTTCGCCTGCCATCAAGTGACTGCCCTATGTTTGCTCTGTCTTTATCATAAAAAAGAGAGGATTCTATTTAAGCTAACAAAATGTCAGACAAATAGAGTACGCTTAATATTAACTCCTTGAAAGCTATTAAAAACTGCCTGCGCAATAATAAACAAGGATCAAAGGATTGTCTCTTTTCTGTCAATGGCGTTCATCGTAGAAATGAGCCGGAAATAGCTATAATGTTGACGGATACTTCCGGCTCGGCCAAATTGATATGTCCAGGGTTTTACGAGATTTTTGCGTAAAATATCGTACAATATTGGTTATAAATATGGTAAATAATGTCTGTAGTTTACGTAAGTAGTACACATTGAAATAATCGTGAATAAGTAAATCATTTAATTAAATTAACGTTTTTTTTTAAAGATGTTAACATATATAAATTATATTTGCATATCTAAATTAATGAATTGATATGAATATAATCTGTACGCTGCGAGTTTAAGCCTATTTATAATATTGTCCTTACTATTGGAATAAAGAATATCCTAAGATGTTTAAAAAATGCACATTAAGATTTATATAAGCCGTTTAAATAATTAATTACCTTTTTATTTTAATTTATTTCAACTGCTGTCTGACTACGGATACTTTGCAGCAGCCGTAGCCAGGGGAGGCGGAGGTGGTGATCGTTTTAAACAGTTTTAAATGTTTTATTCCAATGTGTCTACTTACTTAATATTTAGTATAGTCCGTTCAAACTTGAAGACAACATCCTATCAATGAAATCCAATAAACAATCTGTTTTATAAAATTGTTAAATAGCTTATAACATAAATTCATAATCCATATATCTTAATTATTCATTGACTAAAACATAGAAGAGTAATTAAAAACTTTAATATTTTTCATACGACGCCATTAGATGAATTAAATAGATTTTAGATTGAAAAAAAATTACGACACGGGCAGGAAATGGTAGCTCAATTTGTTAGAGCAAGAACATGGAATACTGTGGATTCCGCCCGCGGCCGGTTCAAGTCCTGCCTGTGTCGTTTTTTTTTTCAATCTAAAATCGATTCTTCATTCATTGAAAAATAATGATAGAAAAAAATCACTTTTTCCTTTTAATTACCTCTACATTTCTATTTTATAGGTATGGTGGTAAATGGATTTGTGAATGTTGTGATAACGACTATTGAGAAGAGGTTCGGGCTTCGGTCGATGCAAACTGGCGTAATAGCTGGAGGGTAAGGTATTTCCGCTACGAAATTAATAGAACTGTGTTTCACCCTACTGTCCCACTTGTGGACCTAAATACGTCTCTAGAGACTCGATTTCAAAAACTTAAACCCACCAAACTATATCGGTTTTGGATTTATCGAGAACCTAAATTGTATGTATAAACCCAAACCCAAGGTTTAAAGGTCTTTGGCACAAGAAAACACATTTCTGTGTCTATTTTAATGTACGATTTTGTACCCCGAATTAACAAATCGGTGTTATACGATTATACTTTCGGTGGATTCGAACCGAGATCCTTTTACGAAGGCGTATTATAACGCCTTCCACTCACTTTTTATCAGTCTCCCATTGAAGTATCTTTTAAAAAACGTGACAATCTGAGCGATCTATGGAGCACTGTTGACACAGATACAAGAAACTACTTACGTGAATATTTATAATTTACACATGAAAGCCTGCGCAGTACTTATAAACAATATTCATGAATTTTCCTTCATTTCGTATAAATAACTTGTAATTTGAGAAAATATTAAAATTTGATAACTGTACGTTGTGCTGTAGTGCCATCAATTTCTTATTAAATTGTTAACTAACTAAATATCTATATAAATTGGAGACAACTTTTCCCCCTGTGGGGTATGAGGCGACACATGCCTTCCATTCCACTGATCTTTTTTACAAGAAATTGATCAGACTTCTATTCCCTGCCCGTTTTAAACGATCTTTCCTTTGCCCGAGATCCGAACTCAGGACTTGTACTTGTCGCAATGCTAGGCAATACTTATTACCATTTAGCTATAGATGGGGTCATTAGAAAAATATTTATTTTCTTTAAGTTAATTTTGGTATGTAAAATATTAATAAATTAATTATTTGACAGAAATGAAATAAATAAATCGCCTTTTTTAAGTTTATGCCCGCTAATTTGTGGTGAAATTAATTTAATAACTTACGCAATGTACGTAAATTACTTACTTAAATTATGTTATACGTACTTTAAGTAAGTAATATGTTTAAATAAAACAGTTTAACTGTTAAAAACGCGATATATATTAGTTAAACTAATTTGAAAAATATTTTAAATACTGCCCGACGTTTTGGATGCTTTGTAGCAGCCGTGGTCACGGGGAGACTATATATCGCGTTTTAAACCGTTAAAGTGTTTTATTTAAATGTGTACTACTCGCGTAAACTACAGACAGTATTTCAGTAGTATGTTTTATTATTTTATGTTTTAGCTACGATATGGCTTCCTTCGTGTGCCTAGCGCCAGTCACCTATTTGGGCGGCCGTACCAGCTCCTCCAAACCTCGGTGGCTAGGCTGGGGCGCTTTGCTCATGGGTACAGGATCGCTGCTCTTTGCCTTACCTCACTTCCTCGTGCCACCATACAAGATAGCTGGAGATGAGCCTGATGACTTCTGCAATACCAATACGACAGTAAGCACTTACTTAATGGTTGAAATTTTGTTTTCAGTCAGAAATACTTGAAGATTATCTAATCTTATAAATGAACTCCTATTTCCCCCCGTAAGGCCTGCGGCGAACACATTTATGTGTTCGTTTCACTGTCTTTTATTTGCAGAGTAGTTAGTAGTTTGAAACAATCAAATCATTTCCCCGGCATTCCTACCCAGAACCTCTCAGGCTTAACGCAATGCAACACGTTTAACCATTTAGCTACAGAGGCGGTAATTGTATCTTATATATAATAAAAATGAATAAGTCTAAAATAAGTTAGGATAAATTTCTTAAATTCTAGGTTAACTAAGATCTAGATTAAATTAACTTATAACGGACCAGACTCACTACTTCGTATATTACACAACTGAAACTAGAAGATTTATTTAAAACGTCAAATATGTACAGTCATTTGCAATTTATTTTAACTACAGCTTGGACCCCCCCCTGACCACGGCTCCTGCAAATCCGAAACGTAGCTTTACTAAAAATAAGTTTTACAATTCGCGGTTAAAAGCAAAAATAACTAAATCAGTAAAAAAAATTCAGTTTGTATATTTATTTTAAAATCGAATTTTAATTTTACAAGGTAATTCTTTGGTACCACATCATAAATGAATGAGAAAACAAGTTTAAACTAAGAAAAGCTATAAAGTCTTTGTAGAATGTTTAAAAAATTCATCAAAAAAATTGCTATTTCACAAAGCCATCAACAAGTTGAATGTACAATTGACAATGAAACCGGTTCCAGTGAACGCGCTATTCCGGATTAATCAACTAGAACTCTATACAAAGCATGCGTTATTTAAATCGATGTAATGGCATGTGAATGTTGGATGAACTATATAAGTTACTAGCTATGTCAGCAACTTCGTCCGCGTGGAATAGTTATTTTGGGCATAACATTTGTTTTTGCAAACCTCCTGTTCCACTCTTAACGTTAACCTGTTTCCCACGATGACGCCCGCGTCCCGTCGTTCTTGCAGGTTAATCTTAAAAGATAGACATTTACTGTCCTGGACATATTTCATAGTTTTATACATATATTTTGGGTATCTAGTGTTTTATAGCTTATAGCCTTCCTCGATAAATGCTCTAATCAACGCAAAAATAATTTTTCAATTGGAACTAGTAGCAGATTACGCTAACATACAAAGTCTTAATATATTAATATAGATTGGAAGTTTTACGTGATTTTTTGTCTTTTTAGTATCTAAACTTACATGAAATATATTAGTCTGTCTTTTTTTTTTTAAATTAATTGGTCAAGTGCGAGCCGGATACGCTTATGGATGGTTCCTTGAAAAGCGCCGAAAAATTCGTAGTCTGTAGGTTACGCGAGTAGACATTTTGATAACAATAACACTTGACTGTTTAAAACGCGATTTGTATTAGTCTACTTATTAGCAATATATTGTAAGCACAGCTCGAAGTTTCGGAAGCTTTGCAGGAGCCGTGGTTTGGGGGAATGTTGGTTGACTAATTTTGCGTTTTACAAAGGTAAAAGTGTTTTATTTAAATTATTACTACTGAGTAGTAATGTAATTGGGTCCATTTTATGATTTAAGTACGAAACTTCATGACCACTCCAGATTAAAAGGTGTCAAAACAAATCACATGTTTTTTGTCAATGCAAGATTTTCTCCATTAAACTCTTTTGTTTAAATTTATAATTTCTTGTGAAAAGCTCAATTTCAGATAAAGTTTATTGAAATTTCTATACCTTGTAGTCTGCTGCTCTGTGTAACGAGGCAACAGCGTCGGAGAGTGGTGCTTGGGCAGTCGGGATTTTTGTGTTTGCTCAACTTCTACACGGCGCGGGCGCAACACCACTTTTTACACTTGGAGTCACATATATTGACGAGAATGTTTCTAAGAAGATGTCCTCTGTTTATTTAGGTAAGAAGTACAATTACTTACAGTTTTTCACAATAAATCTTCAGAGTTATTATTGAAAATTAATACGAAAATTAATGAATTTTAAATATAAAAGTTAATAAACTTAGTTCATTAAGCGACAACTACTTATAAGTATTGAACTATAAGAGATACATAGAGTCATCTTTTAAGCACATGAGAATAAATTACAACAAAACAAACAAACATACAATTCGGAATAGGTCAAAACATTTTTCTATCTATAACACTAGCGAAATTTATAAGGTACCTATAAAAATTCACTCAGGGAACTAATAATGAAATTCGATAAGGATATGCGTATGTTCGCGCTCGCCCAAAACGCCCGGTTAGTATTCGTGGCTCCTTAGGAACACAATACGTAAGAGTCCAATCAAAAAAAAAAAAAAAAAGGATTGACACTGTGTGTATGTCTACATACATTTTATTCTTCTCGATTTAACTATTGTTCTGTCTTGTATAATTAAGTAGAGTTATGGCCCTTGGAGCCCGCATCATTTTAATATATAACACCCTTAGTACTAAAACTATTCAAGCAACGCGATCACGTGTCAACTTTTTATTTTTACCTCGAGTATGTCTACCCCTGCCGGAAAATGCCCCTTTGAATAATGGCACTTTTCATAAAGTGTTAATGTCAAACCGCATTATGTTAGAACCCTACGCCTTTTACAGTACTAAAGTACTAATTACTAAACTATATAACAGTATAAAAAGAAGAAAGCACAGATGATAGACAGTGTCACAGATAACATTAAGGGCTTAGATTTTGTTCCACAGACAACACAAATTTTAATTTCATTTGTACTCTATTTTGTTATTTTCTTTCTGCCACCTTTATTGCACTAGTATTTTTTATTAATATCATATATAAGCAATTATGAAAGGAATTTTTCAGTAACAGCCTCTTCCAGATTTTTTTTCCATTATAGAGAATGTGAATATAATAATGAATATTGAATGAAAGTGCTTACGCAACAACCTAGACGGGCTTAATGGTTATAATATATATATATATAATATATATTTATAGCTAATAATAATCAACGGGTCATGTCACATGACTCGAAACAATTGAACTCTATTTAGCTCAAAATTGGGATCAAGCTCGCGCTTCAAACAAATGAGGGTTAAATGTTTCCCGCCTCTGTTTCCAAAACCTTTCATCTCATCGAACGCCTATTGGGATGCCATTATCGCCCTGGCGCATTCGTCACTATATGTGACACTTGAAAAACGGTGGCAATCTAGCTGGAGCGAGGATATTTACTATACGAGTCTTAAAATAAAAAGAAGTTATGTTAAATAGCGCGTGATTAACGCTTGTTAGGTAACGTGTCTATAGGAAGCCTTGGATTAAGTTATATTATTCTGCTGGTATTGGTACTGTACTTTATCCACTAAAAGTGCCAATTGTAGTATATTTGTGAACTTATAGCTCATCAAACATCACAATCAAAAATCTATGATGGAGTTCAATTATAAGATATTATAGAGAGTCATATAAGAGATTGTGATAAATAAAGATACAAAACATCGTGATTTGTTTATTCACATTACTTTATAATAAACTCACTATCTCTCCTTTCATGAAAAAATAACCTAATAGAACCATTATAACTAGTGTAAAACGTATCGTCTTATATTGGGCAAAGTATAAAGTTGGAACATTCGCTGTAGCGCACGCCTTACCCCATTCTCCCCGCTGCTTTTAGCTGTGAAAACACAGCTGAAGAGGTGGTTCTAAAGAAATGGGCTATTGTGACACGCTCTCTAGCGGTTTGTTCGCACTCAATGTTTAATGGAGATTGGACTTGCTAACTTACGACACAGAGCTTGAGGGCACAGTGACGTAAATGTTCGCGCAAAAAGATCCCTTTATTTCGTACAGCGACACGTACTAAAGAGTATTCATATAAATACTTCAATAAAAATGCTATTGCTAGTAAGTCGAACAAGAAAAGTAACTGAAGAAATATTTTATATTAAAAGAACCAATCTAAGACACTAGCAGAACTCAAATCCATGGCCAGTAGCTCTACCGTTTTATGTATATATTATACATATGTGAATAAACATATGAAAATGAAAGATTCAAATTAAGAACACTCAATCGGAAAAAATCTTTAAAGGTATATATATTAAAAATGTAAGGCTTTTGCAGGTATTTACTACACCATGGCCGTGGTGGGACCAGCTCTTGGCTACGTGGTTGGGGGGCAAATGCTTTACATATACACCGATTTTGCAAGTGTCAACTCAGAAACGTACGTATGTATTTTATTATCTAAGAATTTAGATTTAAAGTTAATTAAGAGCTCTGCAGTGTACTTTTAAGAAGTTTTTAACGATATATTGTGTGTTTTGTTACTCTTTATTCCTCTCGAAATTAAATAACAATCGGTGTGTTCGTTTTAAATTTATGTTAACTTCGGAAACTTAATACATATAAAAATATTATTTATTTATTAAATACGTTTGAAGGTAAAACTGTAATCCTAGTAAATAACGCTAAATTCAAGCAAGATAAAACTGTTGTTATTATTACATAGCTAACGTATTAATCATCCTTTACAACTGTTTTAGTTCTTACGTGATTATTTAACTTGAAATTATACATTTTTGATTTTTGATGATCATTTAAAAAAGACAAGCATTTTAAAGTAAAGAGTTAACTGAAAGGTACTGAAGCCGTTAAACGGTTTGTATTATTATTAGTAAGACTTGTAAATAAATAAGTTAAAAAAACACTCAAACAATCTTACATACTGCCACATACCTATATACTGTCATATCATCCTACATTAGACACAGCATAGTTGAACAAAACTTGGCATAATATTCGTGTGACGCGAAGCCTCGGTGGCGGATCGCTTTCCTTTAATTATCTGTATCCTGTTCACGTTTTTAATATTTCAACTCGACAGCGACACGGCTTCATTCCAACTTGGCCTCTTGCTTTCATCTCATTGTGCCTCTCAAAAGCAACTTTGCAGCCAAATTAATTCCACCGTTTTATACTTTCATGGTTTCTGGAACGAAATATGATTTTCCGCGCAATGAGTTTTTGAACGAACTCGTTGGTGTGGCTTCACTTTTCAAATTAACTGCTTTTCGTTCTGTGCAAACAAGGAGGCTGTAGCTTTGTGATTTTTTATGTTATCCACTTTGACGGTTGTAGATGTTGGCTACAAAGAATTTGAGTCTCGCTGTTCCGTCTACCCTGAGAATTCGGGTTATGCTTAGACTAGACAGATCCGAATTATTCAATTGCTATGCAATGATTTTGTATCTATTAAACCTACAATTGTTTTATTTATTCAAACAAAAGCATAACAATTTCAATAAAATATTTCTTATACAGAGACTCTTAAAAGAGAGTAATTATGCAAACAATTTAAATAAAACACTTTAACGGTTTAAAACGCGATATATTAGTTATTATGACGGCACAATATAATTTAAAAAATCGAAACTAAATTGAAAAAAATTTCGACTCGGGCAGAACTCGGATTTTTAAATTCTATATGGTTTTATTAAGATTTAGTACCTACCTGGGTTTTACCTAAATACTTACATTATCTAGATCACACGTTAAATGTGTTTTATCTACCAAAGAAAAGTAAATAAACGCTTTACGCTATGATAAGCCGCACTTTAGATATGTACATGAATGTTGTCTTACTGTTATATTTGCATATCCAAATACTGAGATGTATTCTATTGAGACCGAGAATATTCAACTGCTTTTTGTGAAAACAGCCCTTGTTGTTCTTAGAAATAATAATATTAGTGGTGTAGCTCTATGTAATTTAAAATCAATTGAATCAACTTAAGTATTATTTAGCCATTTGTTTGCAAAGTTAATAGGTATTATAATACTGTCTATAGTTTATGCGAGTAGTACACATTTAAATAGAACACTTAAACGGTTTAAAACGTGATATATTAGTTAAACTTATTTGAAAATGATTTTTTAGTTCGGCCCGACGTCTCCCCGTGGCGTGCATTTGAAACGTCGGGCCGAAGTTAAAAATCATTTTCAAATAAGTTTAACGAATATATCGCGTTTTAAACCGTTAAAGTGTTTTATTTGAAGGTATTTTAATGTTGATCCAAATAATGTATTAATTTCGACAGAAATTGATTACGATAAAATAGTTCTTGCGTGTTAATCTTATAGGATAGACATAATATACTGTCGCGGACATTTTGTAGGTCGTTTAAAGAGGAATCCTTCTTTCATATATATTTTTTGATTTCTGAGACCGTATTCGCAGCGGCCGTAAGGAAAGCCCTCAAAGATTGATCCACATTTTTCGCTCCTATCAATCGCAGCGATATTATGTAGCGTAAAGCGTTCCTCTATAAATTGTCTTTTCAACTAAAAATAATTTTCCAATTTTAACCAATAATTCCTGATATTAACGTTCAAACAAACACACTCTTCAACTTTATTATAAAGCTTTATATTAATAGTAAAGATGTATAATACTTTAATGAAAGATTAAACTTTCAAACATTAATTTTTAGGCTCGGAATAACGCCGTTAAGTTCTGTATGGATTGGTGCTTGGTGGATCGGCTTTATCCTATCTTTCATACTATGCCTGATAGTGGCTGTACCACTGTTGGCCTTCCCTCATGAGCTACCAGGTAAGATACAATATAAATCTCATCTTATGCAATTTTGAAGGTATACCAATTTAATATGACTTAGTACATTTTAAATAAAACACTTTGACGGTTTAAAACGCGATAGATATTAGTTTAATTTATTTGATTGTGGTCGTCGTAGTTAAAATAATTTTCGAATAATTATAACTTATATTTATCGCGTTTCAAACCGATAAAGTGTTTTATTTCAATAAATAAAAAGTATGCTACAGACAGTATTTACGTTTAACATATTTTAAGAAATATGTATAATCTTTTCATAGTGATTGGTTAGTAAGTATAAAAATAATACATGTCATTGAAGGTGCTGCAGAAATTCGAGCGTCAAAAATATCGGAAGCCCATGAGGGCGAAGCGTCAAAATCGGCAGCCTTTAGTGCGTTACGCGAACTGCCAAAAGCTGCTGCCGCCCTCTTCAAGAATCCAACTTTCATGTTCTTGAACTTGGCTGGAGCGAGCGAGGGAATGCTGATATCTGGATTTGCAGCGTTCCTACCGAAGCTTATTGAGAACCAGTTCGCTGTTAGCGCTTCAGAAGCTGCTCTATTATTAGGTAATAGTCTTTTTTTCACCGACTTAAAAAATGAGGTTCTCAATTTGACTGTAATAATATAATAACTACGTTTATGAATTCATGTCAATTCTTAGACCAATTAGAAAAGTGTTTTTTAACTTTTGAAAATTGTACACGTCTATAGGCTATAGCAGCTCTATAAGCTCTTATTAAGGCTGTCTTCTATGTTACAGGTGTAATAACTGTACCAGCGGGGGGCGGCGGCACATTTGCAGGCGGTTGGCTCGTGAAACGATGGCAGCTGGCTTGCGCGGGGATCATCAAGTTATGTGTAGCGGCCACTTTGTTAGCGGGCCTTTTTACCTTCTCTTTTATTCTCTCCTGCGATGACTATCCGTTTGCGGGGATCACTACACCTTACTCCAGTCCTAGGATAATTGGGTAAGCAAATTATGGTAATTGCTTAATGTATGTTAGTTGTGAAAATTAAGAAAACACTTATATTGAACAATGTAGTTTACCCGAGTAGATAAAACAGATGCTTTGCAGCAGTATTTCCCCAAGACCACGGCTGCTGCAAAGCATCCGAAACATCGGGCCATAGTTAAAACAAATTGTAATTGTACGTTAATTAATACATAGATAATTTAAAAATCGAAAATAAATTGAAAAAATTTTCGACTCGGGCAGGACTTGAACCGGCATCGTCAGCGTTCCGTTCTGTTTCTCTAAACAATTAAGCTACCGGGTCGTAGATTTCACGTTTAAAACCGTTAAAAGTATGTATATTATTTACAAAAAATGTATTTATACACAAAACATGCTCGAGAGCAGAGCTTCCTGAATTACATATAGAAAAAACGGACTTCTATATTTTTTTTTATTTAAAAGCGATACTATATTATGATCAACCAATAATTAAATGCAATTGGTAAAAAGTTTTGTTTTGATTCTAAGTTAGTAGTGGATAATATTAGTTTTTTATGACTACGTAGATAATAAAAAAAAACGGCTGACCGCGGCTCAGCGGCGAAGCGTATGGTGTGGTATTAAGCCAGAGGGTTTGAATAAAATAAATTAGTTTCAGTGGGGCAGAGACCAGAAGTGTGCTGTACTTGACACTTTTTTTTAATACATAGAGTTGGGGACACAACATACACAGTGACAAGACATTATTTATTATTTCGCAGTTTTAGTATCTCTAATTCTTAAAATATTCTTCTTTGTAGCGGAGACCGCCTCTTAGCTGAATGCAACCAAGGTTGCAGTTGTGCCAATGCGCCCTATGCACCAGTATGCGGTGCTGACGGCATCGTCTATTACTCACCGTGCCACGCCGCCTGCACATCCGCGACTACCAGCGGCACAGCGCGGTTATACCACCACTGCGCATGTATTTCAGTAAATGGGACTCTTCCTATTTATACGGAACCAGGTAATGTTTAACTTATTGACCATAACTTAATTTAGTTTTTAAATGTAGTTTAATTTTTGTATGTAGTGTAATCTAGTTTTGCGTTAAGCGCGGTAACTTCCGGGTTCAATTTACGGGAAGCGATAGATTGTTTTGATCGGGTATGTTATTATAAAGTATAAGAAATAAAATGTATATGGCCTTTATTGTACTCACATCCTTTGACTAACTGTATTGTAACAAGAAGTGTAACCATAGCAACTACATAATATCTTCTTAAGAATGTTGAGTGACTTATGAAGGAGTATTTATAACAGGGTAGGGCCTGTAAACGAAACCTATCAGTGAAACGGGCACATAAATGTGTACACCAGGTGCTTCACAGTGGGAAAGGAAATTTCACTATGTCTGTATTAAACACTTTTTTGTCATATAAAAGTTAGTAAAATATTCATATAACTATTGGGAACTATTTTTTTTCAGACGGTAGTAATCCAATGATGTATGAAGCTATCAACAGCACGTGCAAGTCTGATTGTCCCTATCTATGGCTCTTTGTGTTCCTAACATTCTGTGTTATGCTGTTTACTTTTCTTGCTACTATGCCAGCTCTGTCAGCAACCCTAAGGTACTGTCAATGGTTAATACCAATAGTGTCTATTCTATATTACACGTTATAAGGGGTAAAAACAAGACGTATACGAATTAGGTTATTTTTAACTACGAACCAAAGTTTCGTTTACAACAATCACGGTAAAGATAAATTAACTAATATTTTTCTAGTTGTAAACCGTAAAATAAGTTCTTTTTAAATTATCTTTATGAAAAAACACACCATAGAAAATACATTTTAATGAGGAAAAATCTTTCATTTTTTAAAACTAAAAACTTAATTAGTAATATATTTTTAACTATAATATATATAAAGCTTAGTGGTAGTAGATTTCAGTTGAAGACGTGATAAAATCTAAAAGTAACTGCAAAATATATATTTTCGTGAATTACTAACATTCTATAATAAAATTAGTATAATAAAAGTAATTTGTCGTTGAGATAAAAATATAAAACTGCTGTTGTCGATCTTAAAAGACCACAATGCATCGTTTGCCTTGAACTCTTTTGTTTAAATGTTTAGCTCAAATCATAACAATTTAGTAATATTTAAGTATACATATTTTCTCTTAACTTTGTGAGTCATGTGCAAAAAGAGGTTACTAATATCCTTTAGTATTTTAACAGGTCATGTTTATTGTTTTAGATGTGTCCGTGAAGATCAGCGTTCCTTCGCCTTGGGGATCCAATGGATTTTAGTTCGGCTCTTGGGTACAATTCCAGCTCCCTTACTTTTTGGCTTCCTCATTGATCTATCTTGTTCAGTGTGGGGTTCTGGAGGGGAATGTTCAAAAACTGGCGCATGCCACCTTTATGATAACAAAAATATGAGCAGGTGAGAGGGGTTTTAAAAATAAAAGTTTATTAATTTGAAAAAGTCGGTGACACGGGTGGGACGCAAACCCACAGTTGAATGCTGTTGGTTTACGAAATAACCTGCAAAGACCCACTCGTAATAATCTTTTTTTAAGATCCATTTATAGTGCAGCTCTTGCACAATTTGGACATTTTCCCTTCTTACATTGATTTGTTTTATTTACATGCCTATCATATGTTTTTTATGATAGAGGAGTTCAAACAAGTATAGTTTTTACTTGATGGGAGGTACAATGCCCCAGCCTATTTGGATTTGAATCGATGGATTGAAATCCACTGACTGAAACCAAAACGCGATTAAACTAGACGCCTTTTCATCTGGTGACGGTGGTTCGTTACCGGGAAGGAATTTCGACTTTTCTACCACTCATTTAATATCCAGATTTCCAGACGAATGTTACAAAAAAAAAAAATTAATAAGAAAAATGAATGCCTTGGGGATCGAACCCACGAATCGTTGATTATTAGCCCTACATTGCTACCATTGCATGAAAACAAGCTATAGGGTCATGTAGCTTCAATACCTTCTAAGTTTTGAAATAAATATTTCTGTAGAAACAAAGACTAACTTTTCGTTACAATATAAATGAATACCATTTTCAGATACATGTTAGCACTCGCCTTTGCTGGGAAGCTGTGTTCTCTAATATTCTTCTTCTTGGCGTGGTGGTTCTACCGCCCACCTGGTAAAAATAACGCCGTCGTACCTTCCATTGATTTGGTTCACAGCGAGAAGAGCAACGGTACGATTCCTACTGTAGCGACAGTCAGCACCATATCGAATGGCGTAGATAGAACCAACGGATATTGTAATGCGGCTCTAGAAGGTAGTGATCATTTATAAAAGAAAAAATGTGAGCCATTTGCGCCAAATGATCTCGTTTGATATGCACTTCATGAATGGTTTGTAATTAAATTTATCATATTATATATACTTTGTCTATGAATTCCAATATGTATTTATATAAATACTGTCTGTAGTTTACGCGAGTAGTACACATTAAATAAAACATTTGAACGGTTTAAAACGCGAAATTTATATTTATAGCCGTGACTCGGGTCTCCCCGTGACCACGGCTGATGCAAAGCATCCGTAACGTCGGGCGGTAGTTGAAATAAGTTCAACTAATATGTTTCGCATTTTAAACCGTTAAATATAATTTGTCGTTTCCGTTTTGCGTGAAAGAAAAATGTATTTTGTTTAAAAGATTATATTCTTATTGAAAGGTCGATAGTAACAATGAAATTTGTATTAATCACAAAATAACATACAACAAGAATGAGAAAGAGCTACATCAATTTTATAACATTTTATTTTTAGAATATTTATTTGTTGTTTATGAAAATGTTGTTAATGTAGGTACAATATGTTGTATTTTGTTGAAGACTGAGTACTGACTCTTTACATAGTCATATAACTTAGTTTTAAGCCTGTTTGAGTAAGTAGATACACATTATGAGCCTTAGATAATAATTATACATCATTCCTTATCTTTTAAAACTCGAGTAGACACTCAAGGAACAAAGAAATGTATAGATCATCATGAATCATAAAAGTGTCCACTGAAGAAAGCTAACTGAAATATTAAAGAACTAATATGTCAAATTATAATAAATAAGTAATTATTATGCTCAAAATATTTGAAGGCTTTATTCAGAAATGTATCAAATATTTTCTTCATAATGCTAAACGCAAATTAATTGATAACCAGACCATTTTACGTCTGACACATTTTTAAACATAAAAGCCATTGATAAAATTCTAGATTTACGGAAATCCCTTCTTTAAGTCATTACTAAGTAAATTTTGGTAACATTTCGGATCAAAGTACTATGTAGCATAATATACCTTTTATATACAATTTCGTACGTTTGTATATTACATTTTGGACTTAGTTTACCATAAACTGTTTTGATATGTACAATTTTACAGTAATGTAGTTAATAAAAGTAATGTTCATAATAGACATTGTCGTTTTGTTTTATTAACTCTAAGAATATCAATAAGCTATACATACATTTACAATTAAATAAACAAAATGTTACATCCGCATCATAGTTTTTACGTAAAAAGTTCAAGGCATCACTATCATAGAAACTTAGAAGAACTTCACACCTTGGTTGTCATCAAATTCCATTAATTCACATTTCCCCTTCACTTCTAGTGTCCTCAGCGCCTTTGTTAATATGTTAATATCCAAACCATGAAACTCTATAAAAAAGAAACAAAACTCTCAATAAGGGAAAAAGTTGTTCTAAAAGATTATTATTTTAATAACAAAATATATTATAACAGAAATTATTTCTCTTTAAATTTGCTAAATAAAGACAAATGATAACATTATTTTAGAACATAAAATAAATTTGAAGAAAGATTCATGTAAATAATAAATATTTTTTGCATTACCTTCACCCTCCGTTGTTTCACCTTCCCGCAACTCATATAGCGTACAAACTGAGTTATTTAAACCATTCGCACTGACCCAACTGTAAATCATGTTGCCCCATTCGTCCAGAGAATGCCAATACACCTCCCAAACGCTTTTACTTTTATCAACCGGAGCTGCTCGACCACACCTGGCCATATCCTCTAAAATTGTCAATATTGCCTCTTGCGACAATCTTCTGTTTATAGACGGATTGCTAAATAAAGGTGTGTTTTGTGACTCTCTTATATCAATAATATATTGTTTGGAAGACTTTAGGTATTCTGTGATTAGTTCCTCCCATGCTGCTAACTGTTTTTGCCTTGTTTCAGAGTGTGGTTGGATTCTGAAACAGCCATTATTGTTGAAACAGCAAATTTAATGGATCTTAAAAATACCATATGAAATGGGGATTTCTAGGCTGTGGTTTTTAGATATTCGGTTTGAGGGAAAAAATAACACACATAATGATGTGCTTGTATACTTAATTTGTTAGTTGTTTTCTGATGTTGAGATAAGTTTCTTTAATGTCTGTTCAGTTTTATTTCTTTTTATCAAACTTTTAACTGATTTAGGTTCTAGATCAGTAATAGATATTCTGTAAGATAGCATTTTATCCTCAAAAAGTACAGTTGGATATCCTTCACAAGAATGTTCTGTGAATGTTATCATTATCGAACAGTCTTTTGCAACAGCAGATATTATAGCTAAGTGTAAAGGTGCTGCTGTATTAATGAAATTATTTCTATCTGCATTTTTATAAAAATTTAAGTTGTTTTCTTTGACATAATTTGATAAATCAAATACGCTAACAGAATCATCTAAAGGGATGGGGTTTAAATTCATTTTGTTTGAGATCTGTTGTATTTGTAGCAGATTAAATAAAAACGAAGATTGTGGCAACATGCTATCTTCATGACACTTTTGTTTTTGTTCTATGTCAATTTTAGCTGATTCAACTAATTTTATATTTGATAAACCATCACTTAGTAAAATATCCACTATAAAGTCTAAAAACACATTCACAGATCCTAATATTGTCGCATTTATTATCTGCTCAAACATGTGATAGTTAGAGTGTTCATTAAATACAATATCACAGTTTTTAAAAATCTTGAAATTATTTTGGGGATTTTGTAACAAGCTGGTAATAGCAACTTTCATTCTTCTCTTATTTCCTGAATACAAATCCAAGGGACAATAGCCACTGACTTTACTTATCTGTTTCTCACTTAATTTAAGATGTTGTTTTAAGCAATAATAACATTGTGCATACTCCTTTAAACTTTCTGCAAGAAACCCTTCTTTGGTTTTTATTTCTATGCAATAGTTAATACCATCAGGGTTGATTATTGCCAAATTGGGAGCTTTTAAAGCATAATGACTAATAGAGGCTTTATGAATCCTGTTGTTAGGTCTTACTTTTAAAAGTTTTCCTAATAGTTCTGTTATTTCACTTTGCGACAAATATATTATTTCCTCCTTGTACGCGGTATCCTTACATATCAGAGGCAACATCACAAGATTAACAAAGTCCACGGTGGTTTCGATGTAATCGATTTTTCGATTATTCACGTCTTTTATCAAACGAACCACATAAGAAGTGTCTAAGATTTGAAGAACAATGTGCTTATTGCCTTCATTAATATATTTCCATTGTTTATTTAAGATACTCATTGTAATTTCTTCGTAATAATTAAATAAGATACTTACGTGAAAAAGGGTGGAAAATTATATTGCCAAGGCCAAGTAATATCTGCCATTTTTTATTGATGAATACGAATTCATACAATCACAGTAATAATACACAAATTTCAAACAAACTATATTAAGTTATCACAGATCAAAGAAACTGTTTGTTAAAGTTGATTTTATTTTGTGTTTGAAATTCGCATCGTGTATTAATAAATAATTTTGAATTATTTTTGGCGTTTAGCCAGTGACATTTGACGTAGAAAATGCTACAGTCACTAAAGTCTACAGACACAACAAAGCACAGACTGAAGCATATTTATTGTAGAAAAAGGGATAGCCATTATTTTGTATTTATAACCACAGAAGAAGTACGAAATTATATTCAGTTTAGGGTTTGTTCTTCTTCTTATTTCATTGTTTTTTTAAGGTTTCTTATTCTTGAGGTATCCAATTAAAGAAACGCTGTAGTAAAAATAATAACTATTAGAATAATTAGGTCTTGAAATAAGGTCCTTCGAAATAAAATTTCCACCACAAAATTATCTAGCTCATAAGATTGAACAAATTTAATGAAATAGATAATTGATAAATAAGTCAATTGAGTTGGTATATATGTGATCGAACGAACGGCACAACTTTAGCAGCACCCAGCTGCAACATTACGTGGTGGTGTTGTGGCTATGGCAATGTTGAAATTCGAGAAGTGCATACCAAAATATATTGTCTTTTTCGTATGTTTAAAACTCCCGGAAAATTTTCTACTAAAAACTAGAGTTGCTGCAATTGGCGTTTCCGAAGACTAGAATATTTTAGACGTCACTGACGCGAATGGCGATGGTGTAGAATTGTAATGAGGTTGTCAAAACAGTGCACAATGATTACGCTTAATAAAAAAATTCGTAGACAAAGTTCTGAAAGTACAAACGGTGTGATCTCTGACAGTGGTAAGCGAATTTCAGTCAGGGACAAATTGCTAGTAAAGGAAGTGCAAGAAATGAACGAAAACCTTCCAGTTACATGTTCTGTTCATTTCGAAGATGCAAATGTTCTCAGTGAATTTATATTAACAGTGGAGCCTGATGAAGGCTACTGGGATGGTGGAAAATTTACGTTTAGTGTATTTGTTACAGAGGATTATAATATGGCGGTAAATATCATTAAAATTAAAGAATGCATTTGGCTCACCATTTTCAGTATTTGTTTTTAAAAATTTACTTTATAATTTAAATAATTTTTGTGTTACAGCCCCCCAAAGTAAAGTGTCTAACGCGGTTGTGGCACCCCAATATTAATTTGGATGGAGATATTTGCCTTTCATTATTAAGACAAACCTCTATTGACGAACATGGCTGGGCTCCTACCAGAAGATTGAAGGATGTTGTCTGGGGCCTCAATTCCTTATTTACTGTAAGTGATTATATAGCCATACTCCTAAGTTTAGCACAGAATTCCTGCCAAGAATCTATAATAAAAATGCTCTTTCTATTCTTGGTTTATAGATTGAGTTACCAGGCTATTAACCCTTGACCGAACATAGAAAGCTTGACTATATGGTTTTCTTAAAGCTTTTTCTCGATAATTATTAATAAATCTGATAATTATCAATCATAAAACTTGATGTATATCTAATTTAAACCCTGGTTTTAAAAGATATGAATCTAAATTATGAATTTCAAATATAAACAGCTTTTATAGTCACTAAAATTGTTCAATTTTTTTTATATTACAAACAGTTGGTCTTTAATCAATTTATTCTATGGAAATTATTTATTTTCAGGATCTCTTAAATTTTGACGATCCACTCAATATAGAGGCAGCTGAAATGTATAAAAAAGATAAAGTAGAATTTCAAACTAAGGTGCAAGAGTACATTGCAGTTACCAAAGAGAAAAGGTGAGACTTGGCATGTCTCAGTTGTTGTAAAAACAATTAGGACTATAATACTCAAAGTGATATATAGTGGTAGTGCTTGTAAATAATGGAGTTTTTGTTTATGTGCTATGCGTTTATGGATCAATAAACCACTGACATTTTATAGCAATTTGCTTTTTCTTTAAACTATGATAACTTTATTTGATAGCGCTTAGGTGGCCCCCACAACATGGAATATAACATACTATTGGTTATGACCAAACTGCCTGCAACCGGTGGGTTAGAGTTTGAACACCAACAAATGTTTTTTATTATTGTTATAATCATAATAGCTGTAGTCGTGGAACTCTACCATACCCACACTGGAGTCAAGTGGTCGGTATGGTAAACTTCTAAGCTCTAAAACCCTTCATTTTAAGAGGGAGGAGCTTTAGCCTTATGCCCAGCTCTAATGCAAATGTAGACCTTTGCAATTGAAAGACAGTAGTGGACTGATGAATATGGAGATTCTATATTACAAAAAAATAAGATATTTAAAAGCACTTGGTTTGATTAAAAACTTTATTGACTTTCATAATAATAAAGTATCTACTTGTATAAATAATAGAAAAAGTGTACAATAAATACTTAACATTTAAACATTTGTAACAATAGTTATGACTAGATAACATGGTAAGTCGTCGGTGATTATGATCGGAGGCACATTTTGTTTGGGTTCAGTGTTAATAAACCATTTTATTTTGATTGTTATTGAAAGTAACAATAAATAACATTATCTTATTTACACATAAATAAATTAGTTTAATTTTTACTTAATTTCTTTTTATAATATGCTTGAACTGAATTAACAGCAATGCCAATTTTAACCTTTCAATTTAGCTGGGATAGTGAAACATTCAACAAACAAGTTAAAGTTAAAATTAAATATAGAATTTGTTTATTGTATCCATCAATGAGAGGAGAAGTTTGTGTGCAGTTCGTCTTGAATACTGTTGGAGCGAGTTAAGTGTCTTGGAGAGACTGCACCGAAAGCAGCAGATACGCTATCTGCTGCAGATGCTTCTTGAGATTTGCGGTCGTGGTATGCTTCCGAGAACTCCTGAAACACAAAAACCCATTTTAATTACTGCACATACTAAATGTTTGTCTAAGAAACGTTAGTGTTAGGTTTATTTTTTACTCGTTATTTCCTGTTAAATTTAATATTTATGATAATATTATACAAATTTACAGCAAGATTTGGTTAATTTAAAAACCGAAAATAATCCTGTCGCGTTGACTGTATAAACGTGATGTTGACCTTTAATCTATTTCCGAGGAAAACTGCTCTCTCCCTCTTTCTCAGCATAAAGTCAGTATTATGGAGCCAGCGGTGCTCGTAACATTCTTCAGCTGTTGGACGCTTGAGTGGTGTCTTTTTGAAGATGAACATGAGGAAACGTGTGGCTTCCTGTGGAAAATATTATCACTTAGTATGTGGTTAAAATAATTATTTAACCTTTAATTCGTTTAATGAGCAGCATTATAGAAATGTTGTCGTTTCCTTGAAATCAACCAAACGACAAGCTAATGTAACATTTAGACATTTACAAAGAAATGGAACCCACGACTACAGTGTACCGCGCTATTGCCATTACCAACTGACCTAACATGGACGCGGTAAATAGATTTTGTCCTGTACATGCGTCTAAAAACAACAGACATGGTGATGCGTACCCATCACTGAAAATTACGTCTGTAATAACGCCTTACAAGTGTTTCTGGACAGTAAACTACAATCCAATCTACAAACCTGGGTTAGCTCTTTGTAAAGGTGCTCGAAGCGGTACCGCACAAAGGAGATGTTTTGTTTGGTTTCTGTGTCATCGGCTCCGCGATACGGAGACACGCCTGATAGCATTATGTAAGCGAGCACGCCTACGGTCCAGATATCAGTCTGTGGGTACGCTGGCTCGTCATTTATTACTTCCGGTGCTGTGAAGGAAAATGATATTAATATTTTAAGTGCATAAAACTGATCTGCCATTGGTGTCTTGCCAAACTCGGTACATAAGGGAAGCTACACACTTTCGGATGATAGCAAGAAAATCAAACGTGCCTCCGCAAATATGCCCGAAGCACTACAGTACCTTGGCCTGTCTAAAAGCACCCTAAAGACGTGTGCGTGTCAAATCATCTCTGAGCGACGGAGGCCTATCTATAGTAATATTATAAAGCTGAAGAGTTTGTTTGTTTAATCTCGATAACTACTGGTTCGAGTTGAAATATTATTTTTTTTGATGGTTAGAGTATTTATTGAGGATGTAAAACATCGCGAGCATAGAAACAAGAAGTATTCCTCTTTAAATAATTAAAAAAAAAACTCTGCGACAATATATGTCTATCTTTTAAGATTAACTTGCAAGAACGACCCGAACGACGGGACGCGTCCGACGGGATACGAATATCGTGGGTAACAGCTATAGTTTTTAAGGAATTCATCCTTGGAGGAACAAATTTACACCCCAAAAAGAAATATTCTACGCGGACGAAGTCGCTTTCACTGCGAGTAAGTTATGAGAATTATATTTTAATGTCTACAATCTCGTAAAATAGAGTTAAGTAAAGAATGATATAATGTCTGTACCTTTGTACTCCAATTCACCAACTTGCGGTACAATGGTTCCTAATTTTGTAACTTTGTGCGCAGACCCAAAATCTATCAACTTCACTTGAATCGATCTAACGGATGCCATCACGACGTTATCTGGCTGAAGGTCGAGGTGGCAGTAGCCTCTCCAGTGTAGATATTGCAATCCATCTAGGACTTGTGTTATGATGGTGGCCACCATTTGTTCGGAGTAATCGTGACGGCTCGAAAGATATGTCAATATATCCGCACCCTGAAGCTTCTCTAACACAAGGGCAGCTATGGGAGAGCCCGGTGTTTGATAGGCGGCGCATAAATTAGATATTCTCTCGTGTCTGAGCCGCCTTAAACACTCAAACTCCCTTTGCACTTGAATTTCAGTTTCTGGCCTGCATTCCAATATTTTGGCGACGACCACGCTGTCTGATGTCTTATCGATCCCCTTAACAACAATAGAGAATTTTCCACGCCACAACTCTGACACGAAAGTATAGCGATCCGTAAACGCATCTGTCGTACCCCATTCTGGAGGGTTCTCTTCCGTCGCGTAATCTAATTTTGGCTTGTCTTCTTCCAAAACGATTTCTTGCCCAGATTCAGTTAATTGTTGCAGGTGTTTCATCGCTTTTGTAATTTGAATTTTCGGCGCGCCCGCTTCCAGAGTTTGAACTAGATTGGTTGGAATTCCTTTCTCACTCCAGCCAATTCTATTACGTGATGATAGTCTGAACTGGTAGCTGTTCTTTGCGGCAAGGTCTTTTATGAGGAAGAATTCATGATCAATGTTTTCAGCAACTGTCTTCCATTCAACACTATCTCCCTCTTTATACTGAAGACTATAGCAAACTACTGGAGAATTACCGTCGTATTTCGGTTGTTTCCACCTGAGTAAGACTTCCGTATCCGATATTTCAGCTGCCGTTGGGCTATCAGGCGCATCTGGAGTTGTAGCTTCGACTATTCTGGTCCTTGCTACGGTTTGTCCAACTTTGTTCCTAGCTACAACTTTATAGAAACCGATATCATGGTGCATGGCGGGATCAAACTTGAGGGTAGAGCGTCCTTGATCGTCTTCAATAATTTTAATACGTTGTCCTTCCGCTATAACCATATCATTCTTGAACCATTGTATGACGGGTTTGGGATCGCCAACTGCGTAGCAGGACAGTTGTGCCGCTTCACCTTCCCTTACGGGAAGTATTTGGGGTTTTTCTCTGAAGAAGGGCAAATGTCCGTCTTTTTTGGATTCCATTAAGGCTTGTGCTTCCGCATAACTGTCCAGCCTGGTACCAAGTTCGTGTCGTAGGCGGCGGATTGTGTAACTTTCAGAACCGTATTGGTTGATCCTTTCTTTTCTTTCGTCATCGATTTCTTCGTCCATAACATCCGTAAAGCGGCGTCTCTCACGAATGATAGGCGTCTGCAAATATTATTTATGTATTACGTTACTTTGTGGATTATATAAGATCATTTATGAACATATTGTAGATAGGTTTAATAATTACCCTAGGATCGTATGCATCGTGGACACTTAGGTTATACGCAGGTGAACGATTGCAAGCCACCTTCATATACTCTCGAAGTCGCACCGGGAATTGTGTATCACGAAGCTGCAGCAGATACGTGTCTGGACCATTTTGATAGCTATCAAGACACATGAATATTGTTTTTTAGAGTAATATTATTAGATTTGTTAAAAATGTATACAGTTTCTTATATCTAGTATCCAGCAAACCAATTGTAACACACAATTTAGACTGGCATTAAATTGTATATTTTTTTCTTGATATGTCTAAAGAGACTTTGGTTATAGTAAAAATGAATACTACATACTGGCTCTCTGATTTAGCTGAAACTTCCCAATCGGGATGCTCCCATTGCTTGAATTTGAGGTCCCAAGGGGACGGTTTGCGTTCATGGGAAGATCGGTCTCGGTCTGGAGAACCTAAAGATTACATTTATCGTTATAAGCATGTCATTCATAGTTTCTAATGTGTACATAAGATTAATGAAGATAGATAAAAGCTTACCTTCAGGCGTGTATATTTCGCCAGGTGGGTACACCATTTTAGAGGGATGATCGAAGGCTCCCTCTAGTGGTCGACGACGGAACCATGTCCGACATGAAGCGTTGCTCATCCAGTCTCTAAATATTTAAGCAAATTTATATTATAGCAGTGGTAACTGGTAAGGCTACTTTGATATAAATATTAAATATGAGGCCTACTAAACCAGTCACAAAATTCAACAATTTGTATTCTATTAATTTTTTTCAAACATTAAAATCACCTGTAGGAGTTGTAGTAGTTCCTCAGGCGTTCTGTTGTAATCATGTACTCGTCCTTATAAATTTTATCAGCTAGTGATAACCAGGGGTGCGCGAGCGCAGTGTCCACGTCGAGACGGTTACGCCAGTCCAAAACTAGCAACTTCGAGATGAAATCTCGCGATTCCAGACTGAAGCGGGACCACCAATCTTCGTCGTACCTAAAGAAGTTTATATCGTTTTACATAAGTGGCAATAGTGTTGTAAGTTATACCACAGGTAAAAAACTATTACTTTTTCATGATCATTACCATTTTCATACAATATCAAAAACGATGTAATACTATGTTTGAAGTGTTTATAATAATGTATGATATACTAATAATAATAACATAGTAAATTGATTGTACATGGCTATATTGAACTGATATTTTAGTCTTAGGCGTCAAGATCCGTATTATTCTTTCTTAAATGTTGCTCGCACATTGTACCTACATACGATGTAACCTGCATGCTACTGCAAAATTAAACCGCTGGGACGTAGTTTAACATATATTCATAATGGATTTCGTGTTTTAAACCGTTAATAGTGTTTTATTTAAATGTAAGTATTTTCTTGTTATTGCATTGTACGCATGGGTACAGTAGAGTTATTCACCCATTTAACTATATTTATTCGGTCGTTAGACAAAAAAAAAGAGATTTATCATCTTACCACTCCCACTTTCCTTCCCTGACTCTGGTGAGTGTTTCTCTATCGTTGATTCCTCTGAAGGGTGAACGTCCACTGAGCAAGATGTAAGTGATGATACCAACGCTCCACATATCAGCTCCGAAAGATACTCCTTCACCGCTAGCGACCTCCGGGGCGACGTACTCTGGCATGCCGTAATGCAAAGCCGCGTGCTGGTTGAGGTGGATACGGCGAGATAGGCCGAAATCGCAGATCTTCAATTCGTCTGAACCCACGTGGGATAGAAGCAATTCGCCGATCTAAACAATCCTGGTATTAGTCACAGATCGTATATCTTCAACAAAAATGTAATACTAATATTTTTTTACTATATATTACAATATCTGCATCTCAATTGCAACATGAGTCTCTTGCGTCGCGGACTTTTTTTAAAAGTTTACGTTATAGATACGATACTTTATTTAATCCGCCATATTAAATTAACGTATTCAATAACTCAATGACGTCACGGCTTCTTGAGATCGAATAAACAGTTAGTGGAGTTGATAATACAAATTTTATATAATCTCTAAGCTTTTTACGTGCTGCAAAGTATTGTTTTGTGTATTTATTAATGTCACTCGTACGGTAATATTACTTTTCAATTTTCAATAAAAGTAAATAAAATTAAGGGTAATATTAATATTGCGATATTCTACATTTACCTATACTAAGCTACCAATTTGCTTTTCAATAATATATACACAACTCATAAATAAAAGTAAGCAGTGTAACAGACATATGTCTGTGCCACAAAAAAGGGATCGAGATTACATACATTAAAATTTAATTACCGTTAATCCCAAATGTGCCACACTGTTGTCGTGCATATGTTTCAGCCCTCGGAGCAATTGGCGAATGTAACCTGCAACCTCACGCTCGGTGTAGCCTTGGCTTCGTAAGAGGCGGTCCCTGTGAATGTACATACAAAAATTTTAAAGGCTGCTTTCAAATTATTATACTAGAATTAAAATTAAGGATCGACCTCTTTTCTTTTTTCACATGCTTCCATTCTTGCCACATTAAACATCGAGTTTTACAGACATAGTCCAACATGAGAAATAAAGAGATCATTCGCTTAACATATTGTCATAAAAAAAGATGCTAATTATTCTATTTTTTAACATTGACACTTAAGTTTGAGTAAGCAAATTTATTTTACATAAAACTTTATACATTTACACTAGAACGTGACAAAAATGAGAAGTTTACCCCGGGCATGGATAATGCCCCATGCATTGTACGGTCACATATAATCGTCTGTCTGACCATTTCACAAACAATTTTATTTACAAACAAATTTATGCCTGGCAAACGTATTTGTCATTTTATTTATAGTGTAAGTATTGCAATTATTGTTATCTATACATTAGACTATTACCTAACAAGTTCTCCACCCGCCGCGAGTTCCGTCACCAGCGCCAGGGTATGTTCGTGCTCGTACGCATCGTGGAGCCTGATCAGATGCCGGTCGTTCAACAGGTTCATTATATCCAGCTCGTTCTTCATAAACGGCTTAAGGTCTGAATGTCCATGCATGATCTTCGCTGCGTAGTTGCGTCCTAGAAACAGAGGAAAAAATATTTACAGTACAGAAATGTCTCGTTCAAGATTTTATTTAAAATTAGAGAGATTATATTATTCATAAGTAAGCTTTAAGATTCTTAAATGTACAAAACTTGGAATAAACTACTTCACACACGACAAAGGATTGCCTTAGTGTGGGGACTAGGGACTCTATATCAGCACCATGTAATGCCGTTTAATTTTGCTGTTTTAGCTGCAGATATTAATTTATCATTAAAGTCAGTGCAAAGTTCTTAACACAGGGAGAAAAATAAACTAATAGTCTTTACCAGTCAATCTCTCGGCGGCATGATAAACAACGCCCTGTACGCCACGACCAAGCTCATCTCCAAGATCATAGAAGTCGCCAAACGGTTTAGTACTTGGCTTAATGCGAGGTGGATGTTCAGGGACCCTGAAGGATCAATTAAATATATGAGAATCATTTATTTAAATATATGTTACACGTTTCTTATCATTAATTTATTTAAATACCATCAGAAAATTACCTGAGTAATACACATTTAAATAAAACATTTTACCGGTCGGGCCGTGGTTAAAATAATTTTTAAATAAGTTTAACTAATATATATCGCGTTTTAAGCCGTTAAAGCGTTTATTTAAACTTTACATTTGTATTTAAATGGATTTATTATTCTTACGGATCACAAATACAAGATGATTTACCTTGAAGAATACTCATGTTCGCACTCTTCAACGTGCAGCATCGCAGAAGAGCTAACTGAGCCGGCAACGTTCCTCGCTGAGACGGAGTACAGACCCTCGTCTTTGAGAATCACGTCATGTATAACAAGGATAACGGTATCCGGTTCGATGAATTGCATCTAAGGGCAGAACAAAATAAATATTTAATATCCTTTAATACCAACCACATTGCGCTGTCGGCCTATTTTGATTTTGGATAATCGAACAAAATATTCCAGTTCTTCAAACAGATAGGCATAATTTTTTTTACTTAACGGACTTGCGTTATATAAATTAAAAATAGATTTTATGGAACTAGAATTTTCGAACATAAAAAATGACTTATTAACTTCAAGGGTTGCCAGTCGCAAACGAATCAAAGTCCTGGAGATTTTAACCAACACATACTACTGGACCAACGACCATATCATGCGAAATCATACATTTTTAACTAACCTTTATCCTGCTGGAAGGTGCAAGTGGCTGCCAGTCCTTGTACCACTTGATGTCAGGGTAAGGTTGGCCGGTGACCCTGGCTTCTAAGCGCGCGGTGCGGCGAACTAACACCACGGATTCCTCTGGGCGTCGGATGAAGGTTGGATACTCAGCTAATTCAAGTCTGACACGTTGACGTGCTTGTCCGTGTTCGTTAGTAGCTATTGCTTCGTACCAACCCACATCACGTTCCAGCATTCTAAAATAAGATATCAATTCCTCATAGAAACACATGTTTTTATAAACATTTTAAGAAAAACTATTTATTTTACGAGTAAAAACATTTTAATGAATTCGTATACATAATATGCTCATTTGACTGTTATTATGAATTTTAATATAATAAAACAAACTATAGTTGCGATGCTTCGCCGCTTTGGCTCACAGAGAGAGGCTCCGGTTAACTAATATTTCGCTTGAATTAACTCATTTATGTTTAAAATTCGAAAATAAATTGAAAAAATTTTCGACTCGGGCAGGGCTTGATCCGGCATCGTCAGCTTTCCGTGCTGTTGCTCTATCAATTGAGCTACCGAGTCCTACACCTCATCGTCGAATTTTTCAACTTATTGATACATGCACCTATCGCGCAATGTAATTTCAACCTTAGCACTTGCGTATTAAGGTTCAACGTCTTATGGTTTGCAGCTTAAGAAATCATTGAAGATGAAATTACAAAGTTATAACGTTACAAAGTTATATTTCATTTATGTTATTAATATAGAGAACAGAAGATTAGATAAAACAAAGAAGGTCTCTACTAGAAGTAAATGTTTTCTAACGCTTGCGTCAATTCTATTAGCGTTGTAAAGATCTTTAGGTCTTTGGTATATTCAAGTTTTAATTCGTACCGTAAATTTTACAATTATATTAATTCTTACTCACTTGTTAATAAAGAGTGTTGCCTGTCCGTTTCTCGTATAACTCCAGTCATATCGTCCACCGACTTCTATTGGCTCATCGTTGAACGTATAAGTCATTTTGGGTTTCGGATATCCATAAACAAACCAAAACAGATTGACATTGTGGCCTTTTACGCCGTATTGGGAGTCATATTCTTGGCGGAGGAATTTCGGAGCCTGTGCGTAACCATCGTGCGGGGGACGCTCAATGTCGAAGTCTTTGGGGAAGTAAGGAGATGTTTCTGGTCGGAAATCGATGCCCGGTTCGAGATATGGAATAAACTTGGGTGGGTCAGGTTCGAGCTTCGCACGGTGGGTGATGGCGTACGGAGAAGGATCGCTGACGCCATATTTATTCTCGACGCGGACGCGGAATTTGTAATCTCTGAACGGTTCCAAATTGCGAATGTCGCAGACACACGAGCGAAGTCCTGTGCGTGCTGTGAACCAATCGCCATCTGGTACCTCACACATTTCCACCTAAAAGAAATATTAATATATAAGTACGGTACAGCTTATGGTGCTGTCCAGGATTGTGTTAATTTGAAATTGAGCTTATTGGTTTGAAACAATATATCGTTTCAGTTAGTTCAAATGTGTCGCCCAATACGGAAACTCACTTCTGTGTATTTTATATTAACTTGAATTACACTGGCAACGAATAATAGACGTATTTCACAGATGATGTAAATAACTAAAAAAGTGCCGTCTGCAAACTGCAAATTAAACATTTCTCGTGGTGGCGTTTAAATAAAGACGACTACATCGGATCAAATGTTAAAAATAATTCAGATCTCTATTGTCTAATTTTATTAATCAATATATTAATCAATATGCATATTTAATTATTCAATATGCATATTTAATTAATCAATTTATTTTTTATTTTATTAATTATTCGAAAGGGCCGAATGCTGAATACTCATTGAAAATCTAATTTAATTATAATTAAATTTATGTCATGTCCTACTTCCAAAAGGAATGTTTCGGAGGGTTCAAAAGAACTTACCTGGTAAGTAACTGGGAAACGTGGTCTATGTGGTATCGAAGGTTTCCAAGAGAGCGTAAGGTGACGGTCAGCCATACGGGATATGATGGGTTTGTCAGCGAGTGGCATGGGTACACCGGTGGCCTTCATTTTGTCGAATTCCGAGTACTGCTCTGATATAGGCTTCTTGTTCGATTGTGGCTCTAAAGCTTTAATGAGGAAATGTCATTATGTTGCTAGTTCTATGATTCTTTCACATTGTACAATGAATTTAACCTAAATATTGATCCATATGGTAAAACAAGGTTTAAATATTGTTTGTAGTTTACGCGTGTAAACATTTAAATAAGTCACTTTAACGGTTTAAACACGATGTATATGTAGCTCTCCCAGTGCCCACAGCTGCTGCAAAGTATTTGAAACGTCAGGCCGTAGTTAAAATAAGTTAGTTTATATACATCGTGTTTTAAACCGTTAAGGTTTTTTATAACAAGGTTAGTTGGATCAGCTACGTTTTATAAATGTTTTTAAAGGGAGAACATAAAAAAAAAAACAAATAATCTTACTATCATAAGTGAGTTGTGCAGTACAGGAATCTTCTCCGTGCGGATTGAAGATTCTGCACTTGTAGCTGCCAACGTCGCTTGGATCTACGCCGCTAATTGTCAAGCGCAGAAGACCGGTCGACTCCTTATCCATACGAATACGTTCACATGGGAACAGCTTTTCATCGTTACGGAACCTGAACATGTTTATAAATAGAAATTTAAAGATCGGGTAACTGAAGAAATCTTAGTGGGAAACAGATTAAAAACAAAGCAACTTTTGAAGGAGTATAGCATTAAGATAATTTTTGCTAGCTTTAAAACTTCTTAAGATTACAAGAACGCATTGTCATGAAATGGTAATATAATATAAAAATAAAGTCCAAAATTTAACGGCATGCTGTTGCATCTTTGATGTAAAAAATAAAGAATGTGTGGCCTTTTTTTAACTTAAGTGCTATGAATAGCACTATATTTTAAATTAGCAATGATAAAAAGCTATGTTAAATCAGAAAGTTTTAATTTCAAGTTGATACCCATATGCAGTTACTTAAACTTAGTTTTAATTAAGATTTGAGTGAGTTTACTTTTGAAAATTTCTATCCCTCCTATTAAATAAAACTATTCTATAAAAAAAATAAAATATTCAGTATTTACCATTCAACATCGGGATCTGGTGTACCGGTGGCACATGCAGTAAACTTAGCGCTAAGACCTCTAAACACTTCCACGTCGCCAATTTTCTTGAGGAATGAAGGTGGTTCCGCCTTCTCACGTCGTGAACTAGAAAATAAAAATTTATTTTCGTCAAATTATAGACAGTTTTGGTAAGACAAAGCTGTGTTTATTATTTTAATTATTAGCTTGTTGACATAACATCTTGCAATGATAATTTCCAATATTGACTTAAATGTCACATAAAGTCCTGTTCTGTAAAATAATCTATTGATAGAGGAATACTGAGATGACGTCATAAAGGAGGGGATCAGAAGTAATGGTGACAAGTGTATGCGCGTGCGCGCATTATTTCGACGCAGTGACTCTGCTCGATTGAGTACCTGCTCTGTTTTTCTTTCAAATAATTCAGTCTTGTGTTATTTATTAATTCGAAAGAAACCATACTTTTTTTGGGTTTTGTGATTAATTTAATTTAAAGATAGAACCAGTTAATTAGCCCTTTGTTTTATTGTATTCCACTCGTGGCTTCTAAAACTATATATAAAAAAGTTTAGCTATATACATACATTTTGTCAACAACTTCTAATGAAGCCTCGCACTCAGCTTGTCCCTCTTTGTTCTTTGCCACACACTTATACTGGCCAGCGTCCTGGTCGTTCAGGTCTCGTACATAGAGGCAGCAAGCGTCACCATCCCGTTTAATCTGGTATTTCTTTGATGGACTAAGCAAAGTACCATTTTTGTACCATGTTACTTCTGGGGCAGGAATGCCAGCAACACGAGCAGGGAATTTTGCATCAAATGTTGGTAACTGTAAAAGGATTGAGTAACCTACATTAATAACAATTTAAAATAACACTTTAACGGTTTAAAACGCGATATATTATTAGTTAAACTTATTTGAAAATGACTTTGAACTTCGGCCCGACGTTTCGGATGCTTTGCAGCAGCTGTGGTCACGGGGAGACTAAGGATGGAGGATGTCTCTGACGTCAAATTAAAAAATTGCTACGCTAGCGCCATCTGTTCCGTCGAAGTTGGTATTTGGTCAGTCCGGCCAGTTTCGCCAAATATCAACTTCGAAAAATCATTTTCGAGCAAGTTTAACTAATATATCGCGTTTTAAACCGTTAAAGTGTTTTATTTAAACGTGTACTACTCGCGTAAACTATAGACAGTATTTAATAACAATTTGTATTAAATGTAACGGGATTACACTGCCATCGTATAGTTCTACTTTAAAGTTTTTAAGCTTATAGAGAATTTTACCACTTACCAGAAAACCTAGAAGTACTCAAACTTTATTTGCTGCGTAAAATTCACAGAGCCTGGTGATACTATTAAAAATAACTACAGTCTATCCGTACAATATTATAAATGCGACAGTAACTCTGTCTGTCGGTCTGTTACTCTTACACGCCAAAACTACTGAACGGATTTGAAGGAAATTTGGTACACAGATGGTCTAGACCCTGAGAAAGCACATAGGCTTTTTATTGCGAAAAGGGTGTGTAAGGGGTAAAGGGGGGAGTGAAAATTTGTATGGATATCTTGGGAATAGGAGTGGGAGTGTGACTGTGGGTGTGAGTGGGAGTGGGAGTGGGAGTGTGAGTGGGAGTAGGAATGGAAGTGGGAGTGAGAGTGGGAGTTAGAATAGGGGTGATATGAGGTGAGAGTGTTGCGGCAAACTAACACTTATAACATAAATGCGATAAATGCGCTATTACATAAATTAATAAATAGCCTAAATAATTGAAAATTAAACCCCAAGCCACTATTCCACGCGAACGAAGTCGCGGGCACAGCTAGTAGGTTATAAGTTTTCTTTGATTTATCACGTTATAATAGTAAAAAAATGTCAAAATTTAAATTACCTGTTGCAAATCGGAAAATTTCTGCGTAAATGAAGGCGGCTGGAACACTTTTCTTACGTTAAGCTTACCCTCCGTCTGATCTTCGCCAAGTGGATTTACAAGCTTTACTGAGTAAACACCTGCGTCTGGCGTTTCTACTGGATTTATTTCTAGACCCAACTGAAATTGTGAAATACATTCTTATTAACTACTTTCTGAAACTCTTCTATATGTAGAATTTTATTATGATAAAAAAAATGTTTTTTTTTTAATTTATTATTTTATTTCAGTCAAAATGTTGGCTCAATCGCGGTTGGTTCGCTCAATCAATTTTAGAGAGGTTTAATAATAAAACTCTAGTAAATGGCCGCCCTAAATGGATATCACTAGAAACAGAATTATAGTAACTATTTATAAAAATTAAAGGCATTCATTGTACTTAACAACGTTATTGTATATATATATATATATTATATTATGTAAATCTTCTGTATATTTTTTCATTCGTGGTACTCTTACAATACCTTACTGAATCATTAATTTCAGTCATTAACTTCTCATCAATAATAATTAATGCGATTAAATTACCCGTTTTCCATCGCAGGTCAGCAGGATTCTGTCACTAGGCTTAAGTTCCTGTCCGTCTTTTTGCCAGGATACTTCAGGCACTGGATTACCAACAAACGATGCAGTTAGTGTGATAGGTTGGCCTTCTTCAGCCGTAACTTCTCGTAATCCTTGCAGAAACTGTGGTCTTTCTTCGGGGCTCGAGTCGTCTGTGCGACCTGGATAACACGGCGATTAACTATATATATTTCTAAAATGACATGGTTCAAACAGTCGGTACCAAAGTTTGATCGTCTCAAAGGAAACTGTAATTATAAATTGTTTTTATTTATTTAACGAGAAATATATGCAATGAAAATTAAATTAAAACTTACTTAAAATTGCAAGAAATGTCGACAGGCTATGGTTAAAAGAAAAACTTAAACTGTTTGAAACGCGAAATGTATTTGTTAACTTTTAGGCTATTACTCACCAGAAACACTAAGTTCCGCAGTACTAGCGGTCTCGCCTTTGTCATTGATAGCCACTACACCATATTTTCCACCATCTTCAGCGCTAGCTTTGCTCAAAAGTAAAGCGTGACTTCCATCCGGTTGAGCAACAATACGTACTCTTTCACCGTCTGGTACAATTTCTTTGCCATTGTGGGTCCTAGCAGAAGTTATTATTTCATTAGAAAGTATATTGGTATCATATCCGATACAGAATCATATACAAAAATAATTTAAACATTTTTACAGTCAACTGTAACTAAGTCTTAGGTTTTAACAGCGTTTAAAAACATTTGTATATTATTAAACTGGTAAGTTTTATTTTAAACAAGTACAATACCTACCATTTTACAATGGGCTGAGGATGGCCGAGAATTTTAACTTCCATTTTAACGGGGAATCCCTCGATGACTTTAGACGGCATCAGCTCTGCAATAAACGCTGGTTTGCGTTCCTTCTGTCCAACCTATGATGAAAATTAAAAATTTTAGTATTGTCAAATCGTTTTCAGATCCCTGTTTGTTTGTTGTTTATTGAATTAATAAGTGAAATATTATATTATCTAAATTGCATGAAATAGATGATGACAGTAAGAAGAATCACCTCGACTGTAGCTTTAGAAACAGCCTCTCCCAATTTGTTTGAAAGAGTAAGAGAGTACACGCCTGCGTCTTCCGGTTTGCATGCATCAATAGCCAGCCCAATAATGCCACCGGGTTGATTAATGAAATTAACAGCTTGGCTAGGACGGACTGGCAAACCTAAAATAAGAAAGTTTTTTTTTTAACAATTATCTTCTTTAATACATTATTAATTTTTAAATATATTTTAGTTTTACCATCTTTAAACCACTTGACTTCAGGAGCGGGGAAAGCCATGACTCTCGCTTCTAGCTTCACTGGCTGTCCTACAATTACCTTCACATCATCTAATTCTTGACTGAATGATGGTTTGCGTGGTGTAGCTGAAATGTGGTAATATTTGAAATTAGAATAAAAATTATTTAAATTAGCTGATGTGTTTTTTAATTTTAATAAAGTGGTTGCTCGTAGGTATATTGTAAGGCAATGCTTACGATTAACAGCAACTGCACATAGTGCCGAATGTTCTCCATTTGGATTAGTGATAATGAGTTTGTACGCCCCACAATCAGATGGGGTTACGCGATCAATATTCAACTTAATGGTGCCGTCTGGAAGTGCTACTTGCTTCACGTGATCATCTGCTGGTAGTTTTACACCGTCCTTGTACCTAGAATACAAAATTTAATACATGTGTAGTTAACCGCTTTGTTAGACTTTATCAATTTTGTTCTTAGTATTATTAGATCTCTAGGGCTTAAGCGTTTAACCATAGCGGGACATAGACTGACAAATCTATTACTAATACGATAACACAATATTTTGTTATTTTAATATGTATTAATTAATGTTTTTTCTTACCATTGTGCTGATGGAATAGGACTGCCATCGACTTTAGCTTTTAGCTCTAATGGCTCCCCTTCGTCTACTTCCTTCTGCCTATCCAATTTGTGAACGAAGCCTGGTGGTAATTGTGCGAGAGATATAACCGCTTCTGTAGCTGCTTCCCCGGATAGATTCATGGCTACTACTTTGTACTATAAAAAAATAATATCATATTGTATATACTTATTGTATTACAAGTTCAACGTTAATAGTTTTGAAAAGTCACTACTCGAAATATAACTTATAAAAATTATTTGATGGAGATAAGACTGTCAGAAACTAGGTCTAACAGCAGATCTTGTCGTTTCTCTGGGTCCTGGGTTCAAAAAACTTTTGTATTTTTTAATGTGTATAAACATACATACATAATAAAGACCTTAAATATATTAATAAACTGACCTTTCCAGCATCTTCAGCGTTGAAATGTTTTATTTCTAGTTCGCTATCAACTTGTCCTCCGACCTCGGTTGTAATGGTCCTTCGCTCGTCGTTGGTCAGTTCCTTGCCTTCTCGGTACCATTTTACCTCAGGTTTAGGCACTCCGTCACATCGCACAGTAAGTGTGATGTCATCATAATCTTTAACCGTCTGCTTTTGTAACGGTTTGGTGAATTGTGGCTCGTTTGCTGTAAGTCAAAAATTGCTTAGTAATAAATTAAATTGTCTACTTATTACATTGGTGACTTTACAACTGATTCATTTGAATATATTTATGACCTCAACCAAAGTGAATTGAGGCTTTGGACAATACGCTGAATAATTGATATCAGAAAATGTATACAATAATAATAATATTAAGTTGAATTCAAAACACTCACTGTGAACGGTGAGTTTCGCCTGTTGCGCAGTCTCTCCAATTTCGTTCTTAGCTGTGACTGTGTAAACTCCTGCATCAGCAACACCTATCTTCTTTATAGTACACTTATACGTTTCATTTGCCAAGTCCTCGCTGATTTCGATATTAGCTGTCGGTTGGATGACGTAACCATCCTTGCTCCTATTGAAATTTAGATAAATTATGATATTTAAGGAGAATTATCGGTAAAGTACCATATTTGTTAGGTTAGCAAGACTTTAGACTTAGATAGACACAAGATGTTTGATCTGAAATTGGATACATAGACAAATTAAGTAGAAACAACCTACCATTTGACTTCGGCAATGGGATTGGCTTTAATTTTAGCGATAAATGTGGTTTCTTCGTACGGCACCGATGTAACATCTTTCAATCCCTCTATTTCAGGTCTCAGCAAAATATCAAGACGTGCTGAACATTCACCAACACCATACTGGTTTTTGGCTTGAATCGTGTATACCCCAGTATCTTGATGGCGACCTTGAATGTTAGGTTACAACACTTAGGTTAATAATTCTGCTTTATTTAAATATTTTATTACATAACAAAGATATAGTCTATTGCAAAATTTGGTATATGGAAATCTTAACTGGTCTTTGATTTAATAAAGTTTGATCTCACCAGTAGGAATTTGCAGAGTAAAAGTACACTCTTTAAGTCCGTGTTCCAATTCCTTAGAATCTGCACTAATAGTAACAGTTGCATCTGGCACTATTTCATTTCCGTTAAGAAGCCAAGCCACGTGAGGCAGAGGATCAGCAGTACAGACAGCTTTTAGTGTGACTGGTTCTCGTTGCATAACACGCTGGGCCTCCAAAGGTTGTTTGAAAATCGGTTTACGGTATTCTGCGACCGCTGTAAATAATGTCGACACTTATTTACCATTACTCAATATAGTAAAAAAATCTGATATATATTATTTAGTAACAAAATCATAAATATTGTTACTAAATAATAAAGTACTTTTAATTTGAAAAGCCGATTGAAGTACTGTATTACAAGAGTTCTGTGTCATCGTTTTCAATTATCTAAAAATGTATTTTTAATAAATGAATTTTTAAGCCATTCAAACTTACGTGAAACAGCTAGTTCAGCGTCCAGAACTTGTTTTCCCAGTTTATTGCTAATTTCGCATTGCCATTTTCCAATATCTTTCAGGTCTACCGAGTCGATTTCCAGCTTGTAAATATCGCCTTCGTTTGTTAGATGTATCCGTTTATCTGCATTTACTTCTTCTCCATTGTGAAGCCAGCGGACGGTCGGCTTCGGTTGTCCAACTGCTTCGACTGTGTAAACTAGTGGTAGGGATTCAAACGTATGGCCGTCCTTCATTGTGCTTTCTTTTAATGTAGGAGATGCTAGAACACAAATTTGAATAGCGGTGTAATATTTTATAAATTGTGGGCATAAGAAATATATATATAATGGACACTAAGTTCTGGTTGTTACGTTAACACATTATGTTTTATAATTTAACCAAGGTAAATACATTTTGTTTCAGATTTTTAAAAATAAAACTTTAAATATGTAATATAAGCAATAATTAGAGCTAAAGCTTTCATATTCACAAATATATACATAACTTTCTTGTTTCGCCTATTTACAGCCATTTTTATCAAACTTAAGAGTGACAAAAATATTTTGGAACTTACCCAAGTTTTGTACTCAATTGTAATCAATGAAATGTTCACGTGTAAGGTGTAAGGTAAAGTGTGTAATTTTAGGGAGATTAACATTAAACATCTAAACATTTATTTTACTCGTGCCATGCTACAAAATACATAAAATAATTACCTTGATACAGATGATCTTTCAAAATTAACACCTCCGTCGTAAGACCCAATTATTAGTATGCCAGAAGGAAAAGTTATTACGCATGCGCGCTAAAACAAACATAGGTCCATTTGGACATTAGAGCATACTGCATAAATTATAAAAGATATAGGTTTGCTCCCTCTTATACTCGACAATCAATGAAAAATAATCATAATGATTATTTTTATAAGACAATTCACATTTGATAAAAATCTCATAGTTTAGGAGAAAGCAGACCAAGATTGAGTGTCAGCAATTAACTTAAAGCAATATTACATAGTAATATTATTGTGATATACAAATAGCGTTATTGATGTTCTCATAACAGCCGCGCGCATATCAATTATATCTCTTTTATAATATTTGTATTTATTTTAATATTACCTTTTTCCTCTTCATTGCTAATGATTTCGTCTAGAATACTTCTTTGCTTCTGACTTCTTTTAAGTAATTCGTCAATATCTCCATCCTCTTCTACGACACTAAATAATATGCTTGCTTTTTTTCTTTTTTCCATAGTTGTTTCAGTCACGTTTTTCGTTAAGCTTTCGTTTTTTTTTGTCGGTTCTAATATTAATTCCTCTAGTAATCTGTTTCTAATATTATCTAATTTTTTATCCGCTTTTACGTCTTGGCCATCGTCGAATTCTTTTGATATATGTATAAGTTTTTCGGTAACATCGTTCTCATAAACTTTTTCGGTCTTATCCTTTAAGATGATTGTTTCTTCCTCACCCCGATCCGTAAAATAGTCTTCTTTAAATGAAGTTTGACGCACGTATGAATCTTTACTGAATATCTTTCTAGTTTCGTCTATATCAAAAATAGATTTAGATAGGTCTTCGATAGAAATTTCCCGAGAAAGAGATTCATTATGCCAACTCATCTCATCTTCAGACAGTGATCTGATAGATATCGTTCTATTGCCGGTATTCCGATTCATTCGGGAAGTGGATTCTGCATCAGAGTCTGTTTGTGGTTCTTCTATGAGGCCATATGTCCCTCTTCTTATGTAGTCAGGAATGGTATATTGACCAAGTTCGGATAAGAAATAACTATGACTTGCTACCTCTTCTACTTCCAAAGAAGTTGTATGGGGCTTATTAGGTAGTATTATTTTTCTGTCACAATCATCATAACGAGTGGCATTTGTTGTTATTTTATGTAAAGTGCGCGTTTCGGCTGGACCTATCAGTTCAAATATGATTACAGTTTATAGACATAAATATCAACATTATAATTATTTCGACATGCAATGAACGAAGTAATATTTATTATGAATGAGTTAATTAAATATTTTGTACGCAACTGGTATTATTTTTTATTCATTTAATGATGGGAAATGTCATAAGGATAAATAAGCGGGTTCAATACTGACCTGTTATTATAGCGCCGTGGGAGCGGATGCTGCTGACTTTGGAAACGGTAATCGAGCCATCATCACCTGACTTGAACGTGGTTACAGTTTCAAAAACTCGGCCTAGACAATATTATGTAAATCACTCATGGGATTGTTAAACAAAACAAAATAAGTTCATGCAATGCTATGCGCAAAATCGTTTATGAGTGTCGCTAAATTGAAGCGGTTGGCACGTTTGTAAAAAAGCGAAGCGCATTTTATACCTTCAGTTTCAGCACTCAACGGTTCTTCGGGTGTATATGTTTTCTTTACTGATTTTGGTTTAGGAGATATTATTTCCTCTTCAACTTGTACATTTTCTTGCATTTCAGGTTTGATATAAATCTTTTCGGACTGTTGTGGTTCCTTTTCAATATGTGTAACTGAAAGCGGTTTGCTTTCATTATGGTTTTCATCCCAAAATGAAACAGTTTGTTCTTCTGGCTCTGTGATTGATTTTTCGGCCCTTTGTGATAATGTGTCACTTTTGAGGGCTTTTGATTGTTTGATCTTCTCATCGTCATTTATGTCGTCCCAGAAAGATTTTTCTTCAGCAACCTCAGGCTCAGTAACAGAGCGTTGGGCTTTGTAGGGAATCCCATGATCATTACTTTCAACGGATACTGTTTTTAAATTCCGTTCTTCTATTAAACATTTTTCTTCTGCAATCTCGACTGTTGCTATCGTTGTAGCTATAGCAGGTTCTTTTGCGTCAGATATTTTAACAGTTGAACAGGCATTTTTCTCAGTTGACAATTCCTCTGAAATCTCTGATTCTGAATGTAATATTTTACCTTGTAGGAGACTTGGCTTGTTAATTTCTTCAACTACAGTTTTTTTGCATTTCTTGCCTTTATCGTCAGAAATAAAATGCTCTTTCACATTCTCTGGCTCTGTTATAGATTTTTTGCCTTTATTTGCAACAGGATGTTCATACTCCTCAAATGAAACTGCTTTTGGTCTTGCATTTGCGGAATCATCTAATAAGCATTTTTCTTCTGCTATTTCAGGCTCAGTTTTTCCTCTCGTAACGTTTTCAACTTTTTTACAATCCGCAATCTCCTGTTTTTCACTTTCTTCATTCAGAATATTTTCAGTGATGGAGGCCTTCTTGAATCTCGAATGAATTTCTTTCGCTATTAAAGACAATGGGAAAGATGACAATAAAATGAATGAGAATATGTTAAGTGCTAACTGGTAGGATGTACATTATAAGTGCACACGAGCATTCTAGTCTATTGAATGCCTACTTGTGATCAGGTTTTGTTTCAAATTTTTATAACTAGGACATCACAATTACTACAATTTCTACGTGCAAGTAGTCAAATCTACGTATTTAAACTAAGTTAATTAATATAATTCACAAAGTTAAATACAGTTCTATGGGGTACAGGCACGTACTCTACCACTTTCAAACATTGATTTGTAATGTTTTCTGTGATGTTGGTAATCTGATTTTCTAGTCACTTTATAGAAAAACTTTTCACGTTAAACAGTCAATCTATGGCCTTTGTGTTTTTTTTAAGTTATATACTTACTGTGCACTGTGACAGTGCTCTTTGAAGAAACACTTCCCATTTCATTTTCAGCCCGGACTTCATATTCACCGCCATCTTCCTCTTTAACAAGAGTTACTGTGAGGTGATAGTTTTCTAACCTATAGAAAATTATACTTGTGTAACGATGACTGAGGTATTTCAAAAATAAGAACATTTTATATTCCGAATTCGGAAATTAACCTTTTTGTATCTCTTTCAATTCTGATCCTTGCATCAGTGTTGACTTCTTTGCCATCTTTGTACCATTTTACTTTAGGCTCTGGACAGCCTTCCACTTCTACTTCCAATTTCAGGGTTTGACCTTCATCTACTGTCATGTCGACCAAGCTTTTGGTTATGCGAGGTTTACCTAAAAGAAGCCACATAATGTTTCAGAGCAATGGAAATAAAAGTTAATTAAAATTGTCTATTTATTAAAATAGAGTGTTCAGCAAATGCTTCTGGTCTACTTAATAACAGTGATAATTATAATCATGGTAATGTTATGTTGTATAATATTCTTATACGATAGATATTTTTAAATCAATAAATAAATAAATAATAACTAACGATTGACAGTAAAAGTAGCTTGACAAGAATCAGCTCCAAGTTCGTTGGAGACCTTGCAAGTATATTGTCCAGACATCTCAGCGGAGACTTCCTTCAGTATGAGCTTGTGTGTGCTACCATTGTCTACGCGACTGTATATTGTCTTTTTCTCAGTTATTTCTACATCACCAAGGTACCTAAAATAAAAACATGAAATATTTATATGTGTATCAAAACTACTTGGGTTTGGCGTCGTAATTGAGAAATTATTTTCTATATCGTAAACTTAACAAGGTGGCAGTGAAAATATTATACAACTTAGAACTTTTTTGTCAATTTATTTTTAATATTTGTTGGACTACATTAAAATTGATATTTAATAGGAAAGAAAGGATTTTGTATTTATTAATTAAAACTCCGACGAGTCCAATCAAATTTAAGTTTAAGCTATATTCCTATATTTGTATCAATCATTTTATTAAATCGTATATGTTATTAAGTTACTAACCATTTAACTTGTGGTTCAGGATATGCTTCCACATCGACCGTAAACTCAACATTTACATCACCTTCACTAGATGTGGTGTCCTTTAATTTTTGGGTGAAGATTGGACCACATCGTACGTTAAGTAAACATGAGTCACTCGTCGATCCATGAACGTTACGAATCTATAAAAACGATAAGAAATTATTGTTAATTTATAAAACTAGATAATTTGCAAATAAATATAATGCTTACTAACAAAGGTTTAACAAATTTACGCGATATCTGTACTAATATTATAAGGCTAAAGAGTTTGTTTGAAGATGCTGGATAATGATGGCTCCAAGGAACTATTAGTTCTAATTGAAATGTTTGTTTTGGATAGACCATTATCATTATCATTTATCTAGGAAAGCTTTAGGCTCTATAACATTGCGCTGCAAGTAATAGAAGCGAAAACAGAAGGAAACGTGGAAAAAACGGGAAACATTATTCATTTTTGAGGGCTTCCACTGGGTGCGGTGCGATAACGGTTTTGAAAAACCAAAAAATATGTACGAAAGAATATTTTTTTTAGATGATCTAAAAAAAGTACGCGATAGAGTATGTCTATGTGATAAGATGAACTCGCAAGAACGATGCTACGCGGCTAATGTAGTACGTAACAGCTCTAATTTTTAAAGCTGAGAAAGTTTTTGTGCAAAAATAAGTCCTATCTTGCCCTAAATAACTATTCTTTGCGGACGAATTCGAGGGCACAGCAAGTATAATTACTAAAAGTGTACATATAGGTATAACTGAACTCTTGATTGTAAACTTTAGATTTTAAAGAGCAAGATGAATTTGTAAGGAGGACCTGCAAAATAAGACGAGATAGATCTGGACTAACCTCACAGGAGTACTCTCCGGCATCAGCTCTTGCCGCAGATGTAATGACCAACTTGTGTGCTTCCCCAGATGACGTTATCTTGATTGCAGATGATTCCTTCAACTCGGTTTTGTTTTTAAACCTATAAACATGATGTAAGTCATGTTAGTCGTGACTTAATTATGAATCGAATTGAAAACAGTCAAATTTACGACTCGGGCAGGACTTGTACCAGCAATCTAAACGTTCCGTGCTGTTGCTCTAACTATTGAACTACCGAGTCCTACACGTCATTGTCGAATTATTTGCTGATTAAGAAAATCATTGAAGAAATTAAAGTGTCTAACATTTGAACTTCAAAATTTTTCACATGGTATTGCACATGATGGCGCTATATAAATAAAAAAAGCTTTATATTACAACTTAGCTATAGATCTCCAATCGTTACGAATTTTATAAATATTATGTACCAAGTGACTGTAGGCGATGGTTCAGCTTCAGTCTGTATTTCAAAGGTAACAGATTCTTTCTCTTCGCACACTTTGGTTTCCCCTAATTTCTTGGTGAGTTTCGGTGGCGACATAACGTGCCACTGCCAGAAGTCGGAGCATTGGTTTACTTCATTTCTAAAACAAAGCAGAGATTTCACGTTATAAATACCTCTATTCAGATCTCCTATTAGAATTTTCGTCGGATTATTATACAATTTACAAAGTCAAATGACACGAGTAGTTACCGAAGTATTGTTTGAAATAAACGTATGTTGTGGATTATTTTAAAAGTACATTAAAATATAAGCCACTTACTTGGCAACCACCGAGTAAGAACCAGAGTCCGTAAGCTTAGCGTCTTTGATAGTGATTGCGTATACTTCATCTGTCTCCTTGGTGATTATTATCCGGTCTGAGCTGGTGATTAGAACTCCATCTTTGTAGAAGCTCACTTCAGGCGCTGGCGTGCCTTCTACCTCGATTCTGACTGTGTGTGATGTGCTTATCTGGAAATATTTTTTCAAGAGGACTATTATAATGAAGTAGCTGATTCTAAAAATGTTGGTTTGTTGCTTGCAAGATAAATACTATTTTATTGATACAATTCTACCTATAATTGGTTTTTGAAAGTTACGCATATACTGTGGGATATTATTTAGATAATTAAAAAAAGAAATGGTTCTTGTATTCATGTATTATAGTTTCTTGAACCGTTTTTGCAGCGCACGCAACAGAAGCTCGTAAAGATGAATACTTTTCCCCATTTATTCCACGTTTTCCACTCCTGCGCTTTTATTGGTGGCCACATAATGTTATGCAGCTTTCCTTGATAAATGGTCTTTTTGACATTAAATAATTAAATTAATTCTTACCATGCAGGACTGGTTCTCAATCTTCTTTTTAATCTTCGGTGGTGCAGTCACGACAAGGTTGAAGGTAGTGGTGTCATCACCTAAGTCGTTAGACGCTGTAACTTCGTAAACGCCACTGTCCGCTGCCGTAACGTTCTTAATGACTAGGGACATATTTTCATCATCTTCGTGTAAGAACCTAAAATAATATTAATATTATTATTAAATAGTTTTTTTTTAGAGTATTAAAGCGATGTAATATTCGCTAACCCTTTCAGAAAGCATAGACGTAGATTATATCCTTTTTTTATTTATAGAGGACAGGCAAGCTTGGGATTTACTTGATGGGAGGTGAAATACCCCAACCATATAACATCTAAGCAAGATGCGCTGTCGGCCTATTTTGGCTTTTGATATTTAGAAATTTACAGACTGAAACCGAATCGCGATGCGTAAACTTTACGGCTTTTTCATCTGTGACCTGGGCGGAATTTCGATATTCTCCCGTATACATATTTAATATTCAGATTTCTAGACGAAGTCCAACATGTTTCAGAAAGATTAGAACCGTTTTGGACCCCGTGGGGATTGAACCCGCGACCGTTTAATAGCCTCTACTTTTTTAAATAAAACACTTTAACGGTTTAAAACGCGATATATTAGTTAAACAGTCTCCCCGTGACCACGGATGCTGCAAAGCATCCGAAACGTCGGGCCGAAGTTAAAAATCATTTCCAAATAAGTTTAACTAAAATATCGCGTTTTAAACCGTTAAATCGTTTTATTTAAATGTGTACTACTCGCGTAAACTATAGACAGTATTTAGCCTTTACTTTCTAATCTACTATAATAAAGATTAAAATAATTATAATTTAAATTCTTACTTATGCCTAGTATCTGCCTCGATGACTTCACCCTTGTGTTTCCAGACAACTGTAGGTTTGGGGTAACCTTTGCAGACCAGCTCTAACATTGCTGATCCACCGCTGGAGACGACTGGTTCGCGATGCTCTATCTGCAAGGTAGGCTTTTGCGGCTCACGATGCAGATAGTTAACAGCTCCTATATATAAAAAAAGTGTTATAAATGTCATGGGGCCATTGATCAAAATTGATACTAGCTGACTTGGCAAACGTTTATTTGTCATTTTGACCGAAATTTTGTTCCCATAAAAACGGTTATTGTGAGTTAATCTTAAAATATAGACATATGCTATTAGTAATTAATTTCGATCATTCAAAGGGGAATCATTGTTTTATTTTTTTTTTGATATCTTGCACCGTTTTCGCAGCACACTTTACGGAAACCCACAATGGTAAATAAATTTCCCTGTTTTTTCAATTTTTCCTATTGTTTCTTCTTTCTATTGGTCGCATCATGATGTTTTGTAGCCTAACACCTTATTCAATAAATAACCTAATAAACACTAAGCATTTTCCAATTCGAAACAGTAGTTCCAGAGATTAGCGCGTTCAAACAAACCAACACTTCAGCTTTATATATAGACTTATTTTAGGTTTAACAAAAATATAAAGGCATGTTCTATATACTATACAGAATGTAGACTTCGTCAGTGGATTATGAAACGTCATCAAGTCTGATGCCAACCCTGAAGACAAGGCCTAGGACATTAGTAGAGGCAGGTCAGTTGCCAAGTGTTAACAATCCAGAGAGATTTTTAAGATAATAAATACGTTCGATATATTTTAATATTAGATAACCAGAAATACCTTGCACAGTGAGTTCCGCTGAACATGAGATATTTCCCGTGCTCGTTTTAGCCACGCAAGTGTATAGTCCAGCATCTTCAGGTTTCACGTGTTGAAAGACCAAGGCCAGTGAGTCTTCATCATCGCCGAGGAGCACCTTGAACCGTTCCTCAGGGTCGAATTCAAGTCCATCACGTTTCCAGGCAAATAACGGTTTCTCTCCCTTCGCCAATAACCCTTCACCACCAGGTAGAAGTTCACCGAATATATTTTTATCGTCTGTCGGTAAAAGATCCATTTTTATTCTATATAATGAAAACTGTTATAATGCATTATAAAATTAAAGGTACACAGTGAGCACGACGCGAAACGCTCAGACGAAGCCAACACGTCCAACTGATCTCTATTCGGAGTCTTTGCCAAAATTAAAATAGCGTAAACAAATTAATTGTCTTAACAATGGGGTCGTTAAACCTCTTGTATAATAATGTCGGTTGAAGTTAAAGAACTTGGATATACATTTGTGTCTGTGAACTCTGTTCGCACTCTAAGATAAATGCGGTAAATTGATATGTTTTCGATGATTTAACATGTATCTTTACTATTTTGCTAAAACAAAACAGTTAAGAAATTTGAAAGAAAAAGGTATTTATACGTCAATTATGGGTAAATTACATTAATGTATTATTTATTTTATTTATTGGATAAGGACTGTCGACATTTTATCAAAATTACAGTAGCTTAAACTTAAAATATGCAAAAAACAACTGTATGTGTAAAACACTTATAGACAGACACAACATGAAAGGCAAAGACAAAGTGAGGACTAAGTTGTTCAAGAAGGAAGACATTGGAAAGGTTATTACTATATGATATACGACTATATAACTAAATTAAACTAAGACGGCTGAAGACAACAAAATACTGAGTTTTCTGGGTCCAGGTGTAGATCGATTAAATCACAACAAATTGACAACATCTCGATAGTGGCGAATTAACACAGTTCATTCGTAGCGGAGTGCGAAGGGGGGTTAAGGGTTTGCGAGGGTTTTTATTATAATATAACTGACAATTATCAATGTAGGTCCACCACTATCTCCTATATTATTGGAAAAGAATTATAACAAAAACTTTGATGTAGCCCCTTCAGGATGAGTAGAAAAAAAACGAATGTCGTAATCTTGTTTGGAAATTCGCATGTATAGTTGGAAAAGAGTCTTACCGACAACAGTAACGCTACATTGTGATTCCACTTCGCCATACATATTGATAGCCTTGCAGGAGTAATTGCCTGCATCAGACGCGTTCACATCTGCGATTACAAGCTCATAGCAGCCTTTCTCAGCACGCGTACGCACGATTGACACTCGGTCACTGTCTAGGCTCGTGGTTATCTCCTTACCCTCACGATAGCTGGAGGAAAAATATATGTTGTAGTTATGGATTTCGAATCAATAAAGCTGGTAGATCAATACTCACAATTTCACATCGGGATTGGGGGATCCCTTAACTTTCACCATAAAACGCAAGTATGTGTTCAACAATATTTCTGTATCCTTCAATGCTACCAAAAAGTATGGTGCATTGAGCGCGTTCTTTTGTTTCCTCTCTTCTGGAGTCACTAAACAGCGAGAAATATAATTAGCATGTTCGTTTTGGAAACTCTTTTCTTACCAACATATTATTATATTATTTTTAATTTCTTTATAATAAGTACAAATTTCTAGTTGAAAATTAAAACGGACGACACATTTGGCATGCAACATAACTGCTATTTGAGTGGCAAATACGGGAAAATTATAAAGAATATACAGATTGACTAATGTTATGCATATACGATGTCTTAATCGATGATTGCTGCGGCCATGCTATAACTAAGTAATTATCCTTAATTAGTTCCTAATATTGTCTATATCTAGATCTAAGTTGAGAGGGACAAATTATGGTAATGATAAATCTGGATATTTAGAGAACCAAAAACTGGAATAAAAACAGGATTACACTTCACAGTTTTTTCATACGTTCTATTTTTGAAATTTCTATTACCCCTTCTGAAAGTCTAACATGTTCAGAGAAATTATACATTTATTTTAGGAAATATTTCGTACCTAGGGAGATTCGAACCCTACCCTTGATTATATTGCTACCATTAGACAATTTAATTTAATAAGGAATAATTTGTCCCTTGAAAACTAAACAAGAACTCACGCTCATGTACAATCAATTGTGCAGTGCAATGTGCGTTGCCCTTGGGGTTTTCTGCACGCGCGGTATACAATCCAGAGTCATCTTCTCTACAGTGCATTACTTCTAACTTGTGCGCGGATCCCTTTCTCGCTATATTTACTCGGTCCATGAGACGGTCCGTCAAGGGTTTGTTGTCTTTTAACCAGGTCACGTGAACTTCTTCAGAAGACTGAATTTCACATTCAAATAATGCGTTTTCACCGGCTGTGGAAGCAAAGTTTATGGGTTCCTACGGTAACATTAGTGATACGCAAAAGTCCACTTTAGATAAAAAGTTTACTAATATGTGATACCAATCAATTGGCTTTTTCTTGTTATCAAAAAGCCAATTGATTGAATTCCTATTCTTTTCATATATTATAGCATTAGGACATAAAAGCGTTAGCACAATGTGAAGTGTACGTTAGATCTATAAGCGTATATACAAGCATCGTGTATAAAGTTTTCCGTCATTTTATGTACACTTACGTTCGATGTTTTGTCCTTCTAAAGTTTTGGAGAAATGTGGTTTTCCATCGGATGTATCAATCTTCGAAAACGAACTCTTTGATTCCAATTGATCAGTGACAGACCCGTTCGTTACAGATTTCTTGGAGTATTCACTTTCATCTACAGTTTTACCATTTCTAGAACTTTTGTACTTTGTTTCATATTGTGATTCAGCTTCGATTTCAATTTGGTTATTTTTTGTTGAACGAGTCTCAAGCTTTGCACTTCCAGTTATTGAATTACGACCATATTTAGAAGCAATACTATCTATTTTGCTGGGAGCTTCCGTTTCTAAGTCAAAGCTGGTTTCAATTGTTTTTATAGACTTAGCTTCTATGTTGTTATTAAGGCCATATTTAGCTGCAATAGTATCAATTTTGCTTTCGGATTCGGACTCTATAGAATACTTAGAGTCTTTTATAGAGTTGGTTCTTTCGTAGGTCATTTCAATAGCAGACTTAGAGTTATTATTGATAGAGTTAGACTCCGTTTCATAGTTATAAGCGTCTTTGTTCGACCGCCTGCCTTCGTAAATTAATGCGGATTCAAAGTCATCTTTCATAGAATTATTTCTATTGTATTTGGATCCGTCTTTAATTGATCTTCGACTTTCATAACTTCCCTCAATTCCATACTTGGAGCCGTCCTTAATTGAACTTCTACTCTCATAACTAGACTCTATTCCGTATTTTGAATCCCCATCGGTGGCGCTCGTTGCTGAATATTTTGACTCATATCTTGAAGCTGAGGATCCTTCAATAGACCCAGTATCGTATCGACTGCTCTCTATGCGGGTACCACTCTCGCGGCGAGAATACGAAGATACTCCTGTTCCATCATTAGATGCTTCATACCGCCCTCCAGTGGAAGATTTTCGAGTGGTACTGGAATATTCTGAGAAACATATTTCAAAATTATTTGAAATTCGTGAAACCAGACAGTCTCATTAAGTGCTTAAAAAACGTATCTAATACGTACCTCCAGAAAGCCGCGAAGAGCGGCTATATCTTGACGACATCTCTTCTTCACCTGTTGCTTGCGATTCAACCGTATGATTTTGTATTAAATCTTTTTGTTCAAGCGCAATCTTGTCTTCTCGCTTTGTAGTAACTTCTGTGCTTATTTGTTCAGACCTTGCAAGTTTTGATTCTATTAAATTTTCAACACTTTGTTCTTGAATAACTGATGCAATAACATTCACATCTTCGGAACCACCTTCCGATGTTTTCGTGTAAACATTTTCAGAGATGATTTGCTGATCGTTCCCTGTAGAATGCTCTTTTATATCGTTGGATTTTTTTGACCCTCTCTTTGTTTGTTTAGTAGTTGGTGATTGCTTATCAGAAGTGCTAACCTGAGTGGATTCTGATAACTGTTGTATAATACCACTGTCAACAACGCTTACTTCTTTTGCCAGATGATGTGTCTCGCTGATTAAATTATCTTGTTTTGTTTCTAATTTAACTTCAGTTTCTTGTGTTTTAAAAGTAGTTTCTGTCAATTCTTGAACAATTCCCTGTGAAGAGACTTCACTGCAATGAACTTGAACAGAATGCGTAACAGCTATTTCTTCTGAAACTGAAACTTCTTTAACCCCTTTATCTACCGATTCTGGCAAATTGTGTGCTTCTTCTTGAATCGTCTGTGTTTGTGATATGCTCAGTTGACTATCATTTATTTGAGTACTGTCTTGTGCTACAATAGAACTAGATTCTAAATCAGTTGAAATTTTATCTTGACTAGCACTTACAGTAGTCGCTTCTGCGAATTCTGATTTAGATATCTTTGTGACGACTGCGTCACTGTCAGTTGAAGACTTGCGTTTAGCAGACGAGCTATGTTCTGTTATCGGCTTTTCAACTTCAGTTTCTTCCAACCTGGGTTTTTTTTCATGTGGTGTCTCGTCTACTTCTCCTTCGGTGCTTTCTTCCTTATTCAATGATTCTAAAGGTAAGACTTGTAGATCATCTGCTGCATGTTCAGCTAAGGCAACTATAAACCAAAATTATTGCCATTAAATTATTAAATTAAAATTCTGTAAAACTTACGAACTCTTGTTTTTTCTACAAACATATCTCACCCAAATCACTTGCGTATTGTCGAATCTCACGTAGCCACGCTGCTTTTACTTGTTCTTTAGACGCCTTAAGTGTAAAAACTAAAGGTGGATCTTTCTGATGAAGTTCAAATTTCAAGGATTCCGGATGGTCTTTGATAACTATATCCGGAAGCTACAAACAACAGCTTATTAACATAACATTTTGAAACATGTTTAATTTAAAAATGGTAAGAATATATATACACACCCGTACAATATGTTGAAGTACGAAAACTGATCGATCGTCAGAAACTTTTTTAATTCTGCTTAAGAGGATTCTAGCTTTGAATAGAAACAAGTAGAGATTCTCCTTTGTCCCTTCAATTTCAACTGTGAACCAGTCGTGAGTTAGAAGTCTTCCAAGCTTGTAGATATTTCCGCGATAACCTTCGATGCTAGATATGAAGAGGTTGTTTGTAGCTCTATTGGGGACGCCGAGAAATAGTTCTAATGCTTTTTGGAGGTCGTTGCAGTCGTCACCGAGGCGTTTTGAATATTTGACTAATTCCTGGAACATAATTATTAATGTCTCGTCACCAACACCACAAAAATCATACACAAAAAATAGTTTTACGACTAGATTACTTATTTATTCACGCAAGGAAACTACAATAGGATAGTAGACAAATATATCAGAAAGCCAATTTAAAGTTTTAAAAACAAAATTTAAAAAAATTACAAAAATGCTACCTTAGATTATAAATTAGAAGGAACATTTTTATTTTATTTTATCAACAGCAATAAGTGCTAGCTTATTCCGTACTATAATCACATATATTTAGTTTTAACGTGTACATAGGTAAATTGTTTTTAAATGAATAATTGTGTTTTTGACAATTAGCCAAATAATTACGATCACTTGCCTTGAGCAACAGCTGATAGTCGTTGATTCGTTGTATCGGTAGTTTCAGATGCTCCGTCAGACCTTTATCGTCACCGACTTTCTTAGCGATGTCCTGTGCACAAGATATGTTGTGTGTGAACTTGGCTTTGGCATTCAAAATGTTGAAATTATATGTTCATCATTACGATATAGTAATGCTACCTGTTCAATTGGTTAACTTAATTAATTTATTACATTAGTACTTAAAATACTTAGGCAACACAGTGTAGGCATATGAGCCCAGTAACACTATTTATTATATTTAAATAAAACACTTTAACGGTTTGAAACGCGATATATTAGTTAAACTTATTTGAATATGATTTTTAACTTCGGCCCGTCAGTCTCCCCGTGACCACGGCTGCTGCAAAGCATCCGAAACGTCGGGCTGAAGTTAAAAATCATTTTCAAATAAGTTTAACTAATATATCGCGTTTTAAACCCGTAACGTGTTTTATTTAAATGTGTACTTCTCGCGTAAACTATAGACAGTATCTATTTATTATATTATCCGGGAATGGAGTCCAAGACCTTTCATCCTTACTCCATTATTAGACAATGCGATCAACCACTAAGCCTCGAAAGCATCTTAAATACTACTAAGCACTACTTTTGGCAGCTTTTGAGTAACGAGACTATGAAATTTATTACGTTCTAAGCGTCAACGTAATGTGCCCTAGCAATACACGTAACTAAAATTACTTGTAAAACTGTAAAACGACAGTAAAACAGTCATAAATACTATACAACTAGACTGATTCGCTCATAAAGACGCGTATTTTTGGAATACCTTGACATAATATTACGTGTGTTGACGCCAACTCGGGATATTTGGAAAACGAAGAGCGGAAATAAGAATAATTCATACTTTTATGTTCTAGACTTTTATACTTATAATAGCTAAATTGTCTTAAGCATTAGATAAAATAAATAGGAATAGAGCTTTGGAAGTAAATCAAATTTGTTACTGTAACATTAATTTCATTTTAACGTCTTTAAGTGAGAGTCCTCGCAGTAGTTGCTAATATATGAATACAAATTATAAACTTTATCGTTCTTAGATAAATTCACATCTCTAATTCATCCTTTTATGTAAAGAATAATTTATTAATGCAAAATAAGAATGAAGTCACAGTGAAAAATATAGATACGTGTATTTTCCCGCTAAAAGTCGATGTCAAAGATGTTTAAACTCCGATTCCTCACAGACAACAGATAGTCGTAAGGGCTCAATGATACAGATGGGGGGCTATACAGATTATATTATGTTTTAGTTTTACCTATATTTTTTAATATTGTGTTTTCTGTTACTAAGTTTTAAAATATTTTTTGCATTTATTCCTATTGATGAATAGGAAAAACTGCTCATTGCTCCGTTTTATCTGTGGATATGGTATGTGTAGCAACACTGTTGCGTGTATGACGGCATCTGTCAGACGTCTTAGTTGATTTTTTTTTTAATGATAGATAATATATATTATCATAATATAAAATATAATATATCATCTGTAAAGAAGTCATAATATAGGTCCTTAATTGTCTGTTTTTGCTGAGAAGTCCCGAGTTCCAGCTTAGAGAATGTAATAAAACTTATATTTGTATTAATTTAGGTTAGAATATAGGTCAAGGTCATTTCAACGAATATAAAGGAATAGAGGATATCGCAAAATCGAAACCGTGACATCTCACGGTATTCGCCATTAGATTATGCGCACCATCCGCCCACCGAGTGCGCCTAGAAATAAACCAGACGCAACTTTGAAACATTACACCGCGAAACGATTGTTGGGAAAATGACGATTTCGCAACGGGCGCGCTATTTTTACCACCCGCTCAGGGGGTGTCGTTCTGGGGCATACCTGCGAGGGGGGTACAAGTTACGGATCACAACACAATCACAGTCACACACTTCACTCTCTCGAGTGGTCGAAGGTCGGTCACGCTGGAGCGTGCTGTGTTCGCGGCCGCGGTAACCAAGCGACTGGGACACGCCATGTATTGCAGCATCAGCGGCTAAACTTAGCCCGGGTTAGGTTATAGCAATTTCTCCGATGACGTCGTCATTCACAACAAGGTCGCCAAACAAACCTTGAGGCATCCTTGCCGCTCCGCGTCATTTGGGCTATAAGATTTGACAATGACATCCGCTGCAGGAATTTCTCTGAACGAATCAGAAGTTTCTCTCCGAAAATAACATAGCGTTTTAAGCTCTCCGACACCTTTGTGTTATTTCTAGAATTGACTCAAGTACGAAGATGGGAGGATGCGTAGGACTACAATATTTCCATCAGAAATAGACTAGTCATTCAACATTTGTAGATTGTACGCGATCATATGAGAATTTATCGAACATCTTTGTATACAATAAATTAGTTTTAATCCAGGTTTTATTATTATTAAATATTTCTTCGTTATTATTAAACTTAATACCGCTTTTCCTTGCAGGCTTCGTAGTTTTTGCGTCTGCGAGGAAAACTCAGTTAAAGGGATAAATACAAAACTTTATACACTAGACTAATGCAAACATATGCTCATACGTTGCATAATTGGATTCATATAATAATGATAACCAAATTATAAAATACCACAGATAATAAGTACCGCACAGGCTCACTAGTTTTATACTCTGTGGTATGCGTCGTAGCATTGCGTTGACCACGAGACGCCCAAGTTCAAATCGTGGGAAAATTATACATAGGTTCGGGTAGAGAAAGCGCATAAATATATAGACTGTAAATAAAAGCGATGAATGAGACGGACACAGAAGTGTGTTCTCCTTGCGTCTCACGTGGGGACTACTACGTTTTAAAGTTTATAAAATTATTTAAATTATAATATATAAAATGTTATAATCGGATACATAATATTTTAATAACTTATGTCTTCTAGCTTTCAAATTGATACACATATACCCTACTCGAACCGAACCCGAGGTTTGCCAAAGCAAATCCGCACTGGTAGTTAATGTTAAATAAAATGTTTTTTGTAACTCGTTTCCTGATAAAATACAACAAATAGAATTGTTCTATTTTACCATTAGCCAAGCCAATTACCTCGTAGAAAGAATCAATATTTCAACCGGTATTATATCCTCTAAGTAAGTGAATAAATAAAATAAATATAACAAAAAAAGTAAAGTACTTTTAAAAGTGATATTGCCCTGTATTTTCATATACACACACCTTTCTTTTATGTATAAGAGTTTTATTTTGGGTCTTAATTATGAATTGTTTGTGATTTACGCGAATAGACACATATTAATCAAACACATTTACCGGATTGAGTTAAGGTTTAAGTTAAAAGCGTTAGCATTTTATTTAAAATCATAATTAAGTATTTCGTTTGATGCAACGTCGCCCACTAATTATTTTGGTTCGCATTCAAGTCAATAGCATGAAAGCAGATAAAGTTGAAGATTTTATATTTAGCATCGTCCCTATCTTCACTAAACTGCAGAATATTGTAGCGCATTTTATGCTGATACTTGGCAAGAAAATCGCAGACGTAATTTTGTGTCAAGATTTTTCTTAATCTCTTTTGGTCTTAGTACTATATAATCCTCTTGGTATTTTTATATGTTAGAAGAAGACAGACAGGCATGGTTCACTTGATGGAAGGTGATACCTCAGACATATAACATCTAAGCATGATTCGCTGTCGACCCATTTTGGCTTTGGACATTCGGAAATTCGCAGACTGAAACCTTAAGGTTTTTTTTCGATATTTCTACCACTCATTTGATAAAAAAATATTACATGTAGTGTATTAAATACTAGCTGTGCCCGCGACTTGGGGTTAGTCCCCCTAGATTCCGACTAGATTTTTAATTATTTAGGATGTTTATTAATTTATGTAAGGGCGCATTTAAGGCAGCCAATCTATGGTAAGTGCTACTTTGCCGCAACACACTCACCTCACATCACTCCTACTGTAACTCCCACTCTCATTCCTACACTCAGAGTGGGAGCTCGCACTCCCACTCCCACGCCTTGTCCCAAAAAGCCAAAGAAGAAAGTTTAATTGTTCTAGCTTCAAAAACCACGAATTTCCATACTAACCTTCATCCTTCCTTTTTCAACCCCTATCAAACCTTTTTTGGCATAAAAACAGCCTATGCCCTTTCTCAGGATCTAAAATATCTGTGTACCAAACTTCATTGAAATCGGTTCAGTAGTTTCGGAGTTAAAGCTGGAAGGCAGACAGACAGAGTTACTTTCGCATTTAATATATTAAGTATAGATTTGCAGATAAGCTTTTAACAGCAGTTTTTCACGCGTGATTTATTATCGCCAAAAAAGGGATATTGTTGCAGTGAAAAAACAACACATGGCTATTCCTATATCTCTCTAGGTTCTTAGGAATTATTTCAACGTGACTAATAACATGTTACTCTCTATGTGATTAATTAATTTAAATGAAAGTATTATTGTTATTTTTAATTTTGCGTAATTGTTATCTGATAAGGGATAGACTAAACATAAGCTATATGCAAGTCCTGCTGAGCAATAGCTGTTTCTAAAACAAAAAGTAAGTTTAACAAAATCCCTTTTTTCATCAATTCCCTAGAAATAATTTATATGGCAAAAGAATGTTTGTTGGGTCAGCTAGTTTTCTCATAAAATATAATTTATATATTTTAGAAGAAAACATTCACAGAGTATAAAATGTATTTGTCCCCGATATGACGTGGGATTGACAGCGGAAGGTAACGAAAGGGCGGTTAGTAAAATACGCCAACTATTCTAGTCTTTGGTTTTTTGGCTCTTTGCCTAAATTACGTGGCGCCGCCCGCGCGGGAGTTTAGGTGAGTAGGTAAATGAATTATTATTGTTTCATTATCTACTTATGCGATATTGGTAAACTTCTAATATGATATTTGTAATATTCTATACTACTATGTACAGCTAAAGATAATGTTTCTTTGAACGCGCTAATCTTAAGAACTGTTTTTTCGAATTGAGAAACTATTTTTGTATTAGTTAGATCACTTATCGAGAAAGTTATAGGCTATAAGACAGGCGCTGCGACTAGCGGGAGCAAAAAACAGCGGGATATATGATAATAATAACGGCGGAAGTTTAAATATTAATTACGTAATAAGTTTGAAAGAATGATACTGTTGCGGTATTTTTTTTAGATCATTAATTAGGAAAAATGTCTGGACGGTAAGAACGACGGGACGCAGACGACGTCGTGGGTAAAAGCTCAAATTTATAGAGTTGAACAGGTTTGCAAAAACAAAGTTTAATGCCAAACATAACTATTCTACGTGGACGAAGTCGCTGACACAGCTTGTAACCAAATAAACCAGCAACATTGGACTTATATTATTAAGAACTTTACTCACTAAATTTTAAAGTTTATAAAAATTTTGCATATCTTTATTCCTTATTCTTAGTATTTCTTTTTTTTTATTTATATAAAACAACTATTATTTGACAAGTAATATAATAAAAATATAAAAGGAATTGTTATGCCAGCGCCCTCTAGTGATATGAACTAGTAAATAAACACAAACAATCGTCAAGTTTATAAGCGCCATCTACATATTGACAATTACTTTTAAAAACCAATTACTTTTATAAACGCTTTTAGTTTTCTTAATCGTCACGAGATAGCGCAAATCTAAAGTATATATAAGAGTTTTTCTAAGAACCTGTTAAAACCTATTGGAACTGTCAAAATAACCATAACTATTAGTATTTAAAGTGTGACGCAACAATCCCCAGTGGTTGATAAGGGCTGTGATGTAAAATTCTGCTTCTTACAAAAACCTGCATACCTTTCAAGTTGTGCAAAAGCAAAAAGTAGGTACCTGAAAATATTTCTTAATCACAGGATGAGCTGTTAGAAGCTTCTGGGCCTTTGGTTCATCTCGGCAGTAGGCGACATGCTTGTCAAACTCACGCTCCATTCGCAGCAATGACCTGCCAAGCATCCGAGGTTCTGCCGCGTAGTACTTGATCCCTTCTAAAAGCGACCTGCAAATATTGGTTTATGTCAACACTATGGGTAACGTACCTACGTACAAAAATGTAATATACTCGCGTTTTAAACCGACATACCTACTTATTGAAAACACATATCTTTTGTAATTATACCTAATTATATTGTTACTTACGTATTATGGAATTCGCAGATCTGCTTGAAGTTAGAGAAAAGCAGTTCGCGGCTGTCGAAGACTGGTTTAGGCGTTGTACTTTTGTCCATCGGCCGCATGTACTGATTAACCACTTGTTGCATGTCTCTCCCGAATTCCTCTTCGGTTTCGATTAGTTCTCGTACCACAGCCCTGAGTAATGAAAACAGATTAAATAAAACAACTAAACGAAAAAGAGTATAAGTACTAAATATATAATAAAACATAGTAGAAAATAAAGTCACTTTCTCTGTCCCTGTGTACGCTTAAATCTTTGCGTTTTTTTAAATAGATAGAGTGATTCAAGAGGAAGGTTTTTAAATACAACGTTCACAGTTTTTCGTAGTCATTTTAGTATCGGGGCGGGTCGGTAGTGAATATTGAACATGTAAATATTTTTGCGAATTTTCATTGTAATATATATCGCGTATTAAACCGTTAAAGTGTTTTATTTAAAAAAATGATTTATCAGTTTTTGATGAACCACAGCATTAATTTATAAAGATGAGGAGGAGGTTTGCAAAAATAAATATTTACGACTTTATTGACTCTACGGAGACAAAGTCGCTGGCACCGCTAGTATGAATTAAGATAACAGCTGTTTGTTAATCGTATAGATGTAATGAATAACATTCATAACGTAATGAACAAAATACATAACGAAATTATATATAATTATATACTAACTATTTCGAAATGTATAACACAAGTGACTTTAAACAAATGTAGTCTCGTAAATTTGAAACTATAATAGAGTTAATCATATTTTATACCTCCTTTTCTAGGTTACGTCTACTTAACACGTCAAATGTGTGTTAAATATTGTTCCAGCAGTTCATGTATGTGTTGGTAGTGCAATCATAAATTATCACTTGATAAACGACCTGTACTGACACCGCTTTAGGGCTAACGAGACAAGTTGAGAGTAATTGGGTATGAATTTGATACATTGCTGTAATGTTCAATGCTTCGCGATTTGGCCGAGTTCTCGGTAAGCGCGGTTTAATCTTATGATTGGAATAAAAATTGTATCTCTTATATTTTTTGTAATCAAATATAATTTTAATATATATTTATGACATAATATACATACTACAATTGTCATTTCTACACTTTAATAGACTTCATATCGAATTTAAAAAATTGTTTTTCGTTTTATTTTACGAATCTATACAAATATATAAAGCTGAAGAGTTTGTTTGTTCGTTATTTTGTTTGAACGCGCTAATCTCAGAAACTACGGGTTCGAATTGAAAAATTTCGTGTTGGTTAGAGCATTTATCGAGGAAGGCTATAGGATATAAAACGTCGCGCTGTGTCTAATATAAGCGAAGATACAGCGGGAAATGTGAACAAACGGGGGAAATTTTTCATCTCTGTGGGTTTCAGTTGCGTACGCTGCGAAAACGGTTCAAGATAACTAAAAATGTGTATGAAAGATTTATTCCTCTTTAAATGATCTAAAAAAAAGTCCACGACACTATATGTCTATATTTTAAGATGAGCTTGCAAGAACGACGGGAGGGGACGCGATCGACGTCGTTCAAGTTTATAAAGATGGTTTGCAAAAACTAATTTGGATGCCCAGTATAACGATTCTCGCGGACGAAGTCGCTGGCACAGCCAGTAATAAATATGCAACTAAGTATTAGACTCGTTCTATATGATATTTATTTATAGCTACTAGTCGGTAATTTGATAACTATACGAGATGTGTCATTGATCACATACCGGCTTCTAATATAACAAGCTTCTGAGCTGTCTAAATAACATGGCAGCCAATGAAACTTGGCTCAAAATATCTAATATGAGTTATTGATAACATTTTCAGGTGTGTGTTTGAAATAACGTCCGGCCATAGTGGGTATAAGGGCCCATCCATAACGAGACTCGTCGCCAGAACTTGCAATTTCTTTTTAACTCTTTGTATCTTGTATAAAAAATTTTACAGTCAAAAACTGCAACAAGTTTGTGAACGCTGAACGAACCTCGAATTGAAATTTCAAAAAAAGAAAATGCATAAATATACAATAACATTATTTTATAAGAGTTTGAATAAAATATTTTTACAGTGTTGTAATATTTTTTTGTGCTGATAATGGAATTTGGCAAAGGATATAGAAATGCATCAACAGGTGATAAACATATTGTTATTACAGCACTATTCAAAACGACACGTACATTTCGCCCACCTGCGGTTTTAACGGAATATCCAGAAATGTAAAATCTTCATATATATGTATATATATTGAACTAAATTGTCTTTTGTATCATAGATGGGAGAAAGCATGGGGATCGCTTGGTGATAGGTAAAATACGTATGTACATTAAAAATAAAACAATTTAACGGTTTAAAATGCGATAAGTATTAGTTAAGATTCTTAACAACAGTCGTCGTAGTTAAAATAAGCTTAACTATTATACATCGCGTTTTAAACCGTTTAAGTGTTTTATTTAAATGTGTATCCGCGTAAACTACATACAGTATTTATATGTATATTGCTGTTTAAGAATTCTCACAGCTCTGAGTATATCAGATATGAGGAACGTAAATTTTCCCGGTAAACGAACTCATTACCCTCTATGTGTCGAAATAAAAGAAAAGGTGAATAAATCCCCTTTTCACAAACGAGGACGAGATGACAGTACGCATATTGCATGTCACCACCATACTTAGGATCGATGACAGTTTCACGGTCTTATCCTTAATTCAGGAACAGGTGGTTATTTTCAAAATGTAACCCAGTTTACAGAATAAGGTACACATTTGGAAAATGCACGGTGAAAAGTTAAAGAATAAGTATATTATATATATATATTTATTTGTTAAAGATAAAATTATCTTTAACAAAAAATAGATTTTGATGTATAAAACATCTCTCTACCTAATCTTGAATAAGAGACAAATGGTCCAATAGTACCATAGACAAGAAAAAAAATTTTTCGATAATCATAGAATTTCTGTAGAAATCTATAATAATCATTTTTAATTTTGTAACGTTTAAAAAAATATATTATTTTAAAGTGCATTTATCGGCATTACATATATTGGAAATATATAATTTCAAGTTCACATTTCTATGCCAGAACCGATCAGTTCTTTTGTAGGCCCAAGCCCTGTCCCAGCATAAACAATTTATATTTTTCTTGACAATCGAACCTGAACTCTCTCGTTTAACGCAATGGTAGGCAACACGTATAACCACTTGGCTACAGAGGCGGTTTCAACTATTATATCCCCTATATTACCCGGTTATTGGCACGCTCTGTTAAAAACATCAGCTTAGTAGTTTAAATGCTATGATATAACTTACATTCATACACACTTATGACTGTACTTGTAATGGCTAATAATAAACGGGACATGGATTCGAACCCCACCGGGTCCAACATATCGGTCAACAGGGTCGTTTAGATGTTATATGGCTGGAATATTTCACCTACCATCGAGTGAACCCCGAAGCGTCAACACCCGCCACACATCCGCGAAATAAAACCGCACTTTACCGTAAAACGCCCATTTCGCATTTCAATACCGCAGCTGAGTGGAAAACATTTCAATATTTTTGTTTAATTAAAACGATTGCATGATGTTTTAGATCTTAGCGTACTGTAAACATTGGGGAGTGACGCATATAAAATAAATTAGTATAGGACGGACATATTACAGAGACGTTTCTAAGAAAATATATATGATAAGACACTGTACAGAGAACTACACTGTAGTAATACATAATTAGCTGGCGATATAGCCTCTTGGTCTGGTCAAGTCTTGCAGACCATCCAATGTCGGCTGAGTATATTAACATACTAGGCTGCTAGAGGCAGAGTGGCCTAATAAAAAAGCATGATTTTCAATAGGGAGAAAACAAATGCGCAGTTAACTAAGGCGAAAACGAATTTGCACATTATTTGTGTAAGAATCGTGTTAACAATTTTTGGTGACTGTCTTGTAGATTAATATTTTCAGAGTAAATAAAAATAAATAAGTCAAGTTATACAATTTCAGATAGGCTACTCTGCCTCTAGCGGCAATAAATGCTCTAAAAACAAAAAAAATTAATTCGAATAATTATGCTGCGATTGGCACACTGGTAATACTCACTGTCTTCTGGCGGCCAGCGCTGTGATGTCCCGTTCTGGTTCTTTCTCCCTCAGGACATGAGCTGGGACGTAGCCTTGGCGTGTGCTTAGCTCGTCGCCCTGGACATCCTCGACCACTCGCACCAGCCACCTGAAAGAGAGAGTAAACGTTATTTTCGACAATATTACTTCTTACGTTTTCTTCGATTACTCATCAAAATCATTTTATATTCTGTATTCCTGTTCGGACTACTAGATAAGTCTCTAGTCGTATCTAGTAGACTATTAAAGTAGTAGCACCCGACTTATACTTGTAGGGTTGAGGTTCGATATTCAGTGGTATAAAAGATATTTGTCTATACACATACGTAGTACCAATATGCAGATCGTAAATATACCCTTATTTCACACACCCTCTTAAGAGGCGTGTGTCCCAGCTATCAGATATATAACGGACTAGCTGTGCCAGCGACTTCGTCCGCGAGAATCGTTATTTTGCATCCAAATAAGTTTTTGCAAACCCCGTCATCTATATAAACTAAACTGTTCGCCACAACGTCGATCGCGTCCCTTCCCGTAGTTCGTGTAAGTTAATCTGAGTTAAGATAGACATATAGCGTCGCGGACTTTTTTTAGATCGTTTGTAGGGAAATCATTCATACACAATTTTTAGGTATCTTGAGCCGTTTTCGCAGCGTACGCATCTGAAATCTACAGAGATGAAAAATTTCCCCCGTTTTGTTCATATTTCTCGCTGTATATGCGCTTCTATTAGTGACATCGCAATGTGTTATAGCCTATAACCTTCCTCGATAAATGCTCTAACCAAAACATAAAGAATATTTCAATTCGAACTCGTAGTTCCTGAGATTAGCGCCTTCAAACAAACAAACTCTTCAGCTTTATAAATTAGTATAGATATATGTATTTCAAATCAATAAACATTGTCGATTATTGTCTATACTATATTTATAGTTGTTGACATGCTTTAAGTCTGCTAGATTAAAAGCTTGTCATTTTAATAACGGTTTCCCCCAGAAGCTAATAAAAGCTATTTCCATCTCGTCTCATGTAGGACAAAGACCTGCGCGAGTATGAGTGATTACTTTATTATTAGCGCGTTCACAGCGGCTGTACTAGTTTCGTTTTCGAAGATTGTGTAAACTTAGAGCTGGATATTGAAATAGCAAGTAATCTATGCTAATATATAAAGCTGAAAAGTTTGTTTGTATGAACGCCGTAATCTCAGGAACTACTTGTTCGAATTGAAATATTCATTTTGTGGTGGTTAGAGCATTGGTGGCTATAAAGCGCTGTGACTAATAGGAAGACTTAGCGGAAATGTGGAAAGAAAACGGAGAAAATTATTACGCTGTGAAAACGCTATAACGAATAACTAAAAATATATATGAAAAAATGATTTCCCTTTTAATGACCTACAAAAATGTGCACGACAGTATATCTTTTAAGATTAGCTTGCAAGAACGACAGGTAGCGCGTATTGAAGGCGGAGGACGAATTTTGATGCGCAAATTAACTTTTCTACGCGGACGCAATCGCTGACATAGCTAGTTTCAAATACGTAAATAAATCGAATTTTTATTGTCTACCTTAAAATTAAGGTTTCAGCTTGATTTCAGGCAGTTCCGTTAAGTCTAACACTAACTTTTGTTCGCTATTATAACAATAATATTAAAAGATGGGGAAAACGAAAGAAATGTTATTTTACTAGCCGAAATATATACTGTCTATAGTTTACGCGAGTAGTACACATTCAAATAAAACACTTTAACGGTTTCAAACGCAATGTATTAGTTAAACTTATTTGAAAATGATTTACACTTCGGCCGGACGTTACGGATGCTTTGCAGCAGTCATGGTCACGGGGAGATCACTGCTGCTGTATTTTATTTAAATAGCCAATTATTACAAGAGCATTACAAAATGACAGCTAGATATTGAGTCTGAATGCATGTGCATTGTAGTGTATGTACACACATATGTATGACAAAGTAGGGTACGAAAACATGTATGTAGCTTTTGTTACTGGGGTAAGGTAGCGAAGTCCTTCCTCTAGTCAGAAACATCTAGGTTCCTTATTTTTTATTACTCGCCCCTAAAGACCATAACATTTTTAAACAGAGTTTTTATCATTTTACTCGTAATTACTGTAATATTTATTTTCGTATTTTAATATAGTGCGTTTATAACTGTTTTATGGCGAATAAGGGATTATCTTTTTTAATAAAATTGGGTTGAAATCGTAAAGTTATTTTAAAGAATCCGCGAATAACAAACGCTGTTGCAACTCTCTCGCGAACCGTTATATCAACATTACAAAAATAGTTTTCTCTTTGCATATTATCATCGAATCGATGTTCTCTTGATAAATATTGATCTTACATCTTAAAGTATATTTAAAACGGTACGAGATTATGTAAAATTCGTTTCAAACTACCAATAATAAATCAAGCGTGTATCCTCATTAGATTGTCTGTTTAATGTACAGTATTTAAAAATGCTTTGTTTAACTTTCGTTTTTCATTTGTTTTACTCCGTGGAAACTAGGATCGCATGTAGGGTTTTATTTTTTATTGATAGAGGAGGACAAGAGGCTTCGGGTTAACTGTCGATGGTTGATGGTAGGTGACCCCATAATGGGGGAATACCCCAGCCTATAGCATCTAAACAAGATGTGCTGTCGATCTGTTTTGGCTTTGGATATTCGGAAACCACAGATTGAAACCGAAACGCGATTAAACTTCACGGTTTTTTAACTGTGATTCGTGATCCGGACGGAATTTAGATCCTGCTTATTTAAAATCCAGATTTCCAAAGTCAACATGTTTCTGAAAATTTATATTTATAATATGATTATAAAAATGTTGGATTCGTTGGGTATCTAACTAGGGGCCCGGTAATTTGTTGACCCGGCTAATAGCCATACATTGCTACCCCAAGAACACATCAAGGTTCTCATCAAAAAAAATGTGAATAAAAAATCGTATGCTTTTTAAAACGCCATAAAACAACATATTGATGTTACTTTATATATAACTATATATTTATAACTGTTCAGTATAAGCAATTTGGATTACAGTTAGATATTATTCTAGAAAGAACTAAGTCAGTCTGCAAATTAAGCAGGAAATGTCATTCGAGAAATAGTCTAGTGACGTCAGACACAGTTTATAAGCGGTCGACGACCGACCATCTTCCTAGACTAGATTTCTGTTTTAGCGTCTAGTAAATAAATTATGAAAGAGGACCAATGTATTAGTTTGTCGAATAAGAACGCGCAATAACTCATCATTATTGCAAGCTTTGCGAAGATTTTGTGATAATACACAAAATACTACATTTTAAAACGATTAGAAGTACAATTGAAATAGTAACTTTATTTTTTCTTATACCTTTATATGTTTTAATTGTTTGTACATTTTAGGTGATGCTGAAGACACTGCGAAAAAAAAATCGGTTTAAATCACGTTCGTTTCATACCTTATGATAAAACATTTTTAACGATCTATAAAAGTACTTAGATATTATACATTATAGATTGTTTAATGTTATTAACAGCCGGTCCCAATAACGTATTGTCAGTCAATGACGGATAGCCATCCCTAAAACAGTAAAAGTTAAAATAGCTGTAACTGGCGTTTCAATATTTTCAATATTTTATTATTGAGCTAGAGTAGCCTACGTGCAAGTTTAGAGCTTCATTTATTTATATTTTTATAGTTTAAAAATATTAATCTACAAGATCACAGTGACTGAAAATTGTTAACGAAAGTTTTACACACAAATAGCAAAATTCATTTTCGCCTATATTACTTGCGCATTTTTATTTTCCTAATTTTTTTGTAAAATCATGTGTTTTGTTATTAGGCCGCTCTGCCTCTAGCAGCCTCATATCATGTTTATGATTACTTCAAATAACACCTTAGCAGATATACACAGTACAACTTAAATGAATATAAATGCGAAACAATAATGTGGCGTTTAAATGAGGTTTCACTGAACTCATATATTCTTCAATTTCGCGACAGACAAGTGAAATGGAGACGAATTTATTGGGATAACCTACTACTGTCAGATGAAATTTCGGGAATTTTAATTAAATGTGAACGCCGAGAAATTGAATTTCAAGTAATCTTGACCTATATACATTGTCAACATCTATTTTTTTTTTATTTATTAATAGTATTATCGTAGTACTATCGGTAGATGGGATAATATTGACTGCGCAGGGACTATTTGTATATGTAATTTAAAATCGGTCTGAGTGATAAACGAAATTTCAATATTTTAATATGAATTTTGTCCGTACATTGATTAGGACAGGTAAAATCTCATTGGCGAGGTTTGTTAAAGTAGGAAAGACTTAAATAAAACACTTTCACTTTTTTAGCTAATATATATCGCGTTTTAAACCGTTAAAGTGTTTTATTTAACTCGCGTAAACTACAGACACCCCCCACCCCCCGTTTTAGTCTCCTCGTGACCACGGCTGCCGCAAAGCATCCGAAACGTCGGGCCGAAGTTAAAAATCATTTTCAAATAAGTTTAACTAATTTATCGCGTTTTAAACCGTTAAACTGTTTTATTTAAATTACTCTTAGATGTTAGGAACTTATGGCATATACAAGCAAGCTAAGTACAGGAATTCGGGTTGTAACAATTGGGGCATTACGTTATTAGACCATAGTACAATAAAATGTAATTCAAAGTAAATTAAAATGAATAATAAATCGAAAAACTATCTCCAACCTTTACTTGTAATTTAAAGTGCCAATAATTAAAAAGTGTAATTTTTCACAATCTAATTGAATTTGTATAAAATGTTAAATGTTGTGTATTTTGGCCTTTGAATGTTTTCAATGTTGCAATTTGTTATTTTTCTAGAATACATATACAAGGTCATTGAACGATCAAACACGTTAATTAACGATGCTATCGAAGCGAGTGACTCTGAATAGAGTGCTCATAAACGCGTTTATGCTCCATTTGAAACAGTTTAAAAGCTTTTGCTCGATGTCAAACAATCTCGGAACATAATTATATGGGCCGTATTTCAAGAAATTTAGGATTGTCTTTATTTTCTTTTTGTACATTTAAAGCAATAAATATATCTTAGGTGAAAATACTACA